CGTCCCCGTGTTAGCCTTACATCGCCTAGCGTTCTATTGCCTAAGCGGCACCGCGACTCGCTATCATTGTAGGAAGTGTACAGCAAGAATATACATCTGTACATGATGTCAGACTGTACTTAGTACAAGTGCATTACTGTACAATGAGGATGAACCGAACGCCCCCCGACATGCTGTTAGTGCAGTCGCCTTATGACTGGGGTGCGAGCAATCAGAATCAAATTTGATGTCATTTTAAGCAAAATAATGAAAAATGATAACCAAATTATTTTTTTAAGTCTTTACCATTTAGGAAAATAATCATATAATGGGTTCTTATGTAGGACCGGATTGATATAGTAATGAATTCGTTAAAGTCTATAAGAATTTTCTATTGTTTGGAAATAATTAAGCGTAAATGTATTGAAATCCAAATATTGAATAAATGCATAAATAAACCTTCTGGCGTTTTGAAACAAACTGTAAACATCAAGATATAAAACTGAAGAGCCAGAAATATGGACAGCTTAGGTCATGAAAAGGAAACGGTGACTCAAGTTTGCGGGAAGATGAGTTGTGGTTAGACCATGCAGCACAAGCATGCTTATATATACATGAAACTACAGCGTGATGATCGGAGTGAGTGTACTTGGTTGCAGAAAAGCTATGAAATTATGACATTAAAATTTCACTACGGTTTTAAACGTTGTTGCATGACACATTAAATCTATATTTGTTTATTTCTCATCACAAGCAAGCTGACACATGCGATATTTATAAACTATTGTCAACGCTGTGCATGAAAACACCATGGTAACTGCATCCTGAGTGGTTGGCGGGCACGGGGAACATGCATGTACAGCACGTGCACGCCGACGGGAGCAGTCAGCTGGTGGATCAATAATGACCTTTGCACCCAGTGAGCACGTGGTCGGCGTGTGAACTGGCTGGCAAGTCGGAAGACTGATTGGTTCAGAAGGGAGGGATTCACACCGTATAATATCGTATTTCAAAGGAACTGTTTTTCGATAAAGCCTTGCAGCTGATCGCAAGGTGACTTGGATAGATGGCGTGTTTTACACAGGGGAACTTAACTGTGACGGATAATTGTTACATGTACTTGAATCTAGATAGCTAGTGGACATTTTCCTCCCTACCCAACCCGCATGTGTTTCATCGATGCATTTATTGACACAGATACATTACTTATTTAACTCTATAAGTCTTTTCAAAACGTTTTCCCACAGATAACATATTATTTCTCTCGAAATATACAAGCAACATTTGTTATGCGAGTGAGTGAGTATGGTTTAACGCCGCTTTTAGCAATATTCCAACAATATCACGGCGGGGGGCACCAGAAATGGTCTTCACTCATTGTGCCCATGTGGGGAATCGAACTCGGGTCTTCGGCATGACGAGTGAACGCTTTAACCACTCGGCTACCTCACTGCTCCCATTTTGTTATGTAGCAAACCTCGTTGTCATGGCTGATTGCGGGTAATCGTACCCCGATGACCGTTGCTCATGACATCAATCACTGGATCATCTCGCCCAGACTCACTTACTCACTAGCTAGTAGCTACAGCTATAGAGGCGGATATTCGCTTCGTTTGTTACCAGCCGTTATCTATATAAATGCTATAGGTGCAGAAGGGGCGGTGGGGTACCTGAGTGGTTCAATGGTCATTTTACAGACCTTTCAGCACAATGGGTGCCCCTTCTGGATCCGCCTATGGTGTACCGTACCATAATATCTGCTGGTCTTCGTTTGTTACCAGCCGTTCTCTATATATTGCTATGCGGCTCAACAGAAGGGGCGGTAAAGGGTCGCCCTAGTGGTTAAAGCTTTACCTCCTATTTCACTCGTCACGACGGAAGACTAAAACATAAAGATTTTTATATTCCCCACATCTCTAAAATATAAATTGATGCAGAACCCATTTCTGGTGTCCCCCGCACTTAACAATATTCACGCTATTTGACATCGGTCTGTAAATAGCCTGAAGCAAACAATCCAGTGATTGACATCATGAGCATCGATATACGCTGTCGGGCAAAGAAAATATACTCTTATGTTTGTTTATGGCTGAAAAGCGGAGAAACTAGGACTATATATTGAATGGCGAAGTGTCCGATACGGATATTATGGTCATATCAGTATGTATGTTTTTCAGCCGTAATTTATTTTTGTTGTCGGATCCTGTTTCAAGCGTGTATTTTCTTTTGATCGGCAGTTTACTATATTAGTGTTCGGAGAATTCAACAGGATTAACTCTGCATTCGTTTCGTTACTACCGATATTGTTGAAATCGTATTACTCCATATGCGCATCAAGGTCATCAAAGCTTTAAGACCCGTAAAGATCTGGGTTAGATTGCTCTGTAATAACCATGCTTGTAAAAGGCCACGGGGTCGGGTAGCGAAGCTTGTTGACTTGGTTGATGCATGTCATCGTATCCCATTTGCAAAGATCGATACCTTTGATGTCAATCACTTGATTGTCTGGTCCAGACTCGATTATGTGCAGGTCATATACCTGGAACAATGCCGATATTGCGGTGTTAACAAAGTAGCGAGAAAATATGGGGTTTTGATCTTTATGACATACTTACAGATCGATAGCTAGTGCATCACATCTCGTGACAGACGGTACAACGCGATTCTTCACGCGCTGGTTTGTCATTTGGAGATCGAAGCCATCCAGCGCCTGCCTGATGCGCAAAACTTACTGTAGCGTTCACTTCGCCCTTCAGTTTAAAGGAATATGTGTCGGTTTGGACCGAATACTGGTTCCAGACTGGGTTCAGCTGCTCAAACGGATGGCCACCGCGATGGTCATATGTCCATGTTTAGTATGTATAGAGAATATATTAAAAAACAAACCCGTCTTAGGTCTAGGGGGCGGTGGGGTAGCCTAGTGGTTAAAGCGTTTGATTGTCACGCCGAAGGTCCGGGTTCGATTCCCCACATAGGCATAATGCATGAAGCTCATTTCTGGTGTCGCCCGCGTGATATTGCTGGTATATTGCTGGAATATTGCTGAAAGCGACGTAAACATTTAACTCATGCAACCACTCGTAAGTCCAGAATGCCTTGTAGTTCTGTCTGGCCACAGCACCTGAAATAATGCAGTACTGGGCTCCATTTGCATTATATTTTATATAGAGGCCACAGCACCTGAAATAATGCAGTACTGGGCTCCATTTGCATCATATTTTATATAGAGGCCACAGCACCTGAAATAATGCAGTACTGGGCTCCATTTGCATTATATTTTATTAGAGGCCACAGCACCTGAAATAATGCAGTATCCATTTGCATTTATTTTATAGAGGCCACAGCACCTGAAATAATGCAGTACTGGGCTCCATTTGCATTATATTGTATATAGAGGCCACAGCGCCTGAAATAATGCAGTACTGGACTCCATTTGCATTATATTTTATATAGAGGCCACAGCGCCTGAAATAATGCAGTACTGGGCTCCATTTGCATTATATTTTATACAGAGGCCACAGCACCTGAAATAATGCAGTACTGAGCTCCATTTGCATTATATTTATATAGAGATATTTATTTTAAATAAGACAACTGTATTGTAAGACTTAAGTGTTGGTTTAGTCCACATCGTAAGTTACGAAAGTCGCAGTCGTAGTTCTAAGACAGTCATAGTGTTATGGTATCTCTGAGAAATAGGGTCATGTTGAATGTCACTGCGGCCTCTTAGTGGATAGGGATTCAGGACCCATGTAATCCCGTTACGTCAGTAGAGTAGGCAGTTATAGCGTTCGCTCATCACGCCGCCGAAAATCTGGGTTCGAGTCAAGACGTTGATACAGTGTGTGAAGTCCATTTCTGGTGAGCAGGTACATTGCAGAAAACCACATTCACTCTCATTCATAATCATGTTCATAATCGGTATACGGAAACGTTGAAATCTTGTTTCATCTAACAGAAAAAAACAATATGTTTTGAACATGATGCACTCGTATATTCTGTATGTGTGAGTGAGTGAGTTTAGTTTTACACCGCTTTTAGCAATATTCCAGCAATTTCAGGCGGGGGACACCACAAATGCGCTTCACACATTGTACCCGGAATCAAACCCGGATCTTCGGCATGACTAGCGAACTCTTTTCCCATTTGGCTACCCCACCGCCCCTATCCTGCATGGACACTCCAGGTAGTAGATTTCACTCACGGTACAGACATCGAGAAATTCCAAATGTTTCAGAAAATCAATACTGCAGTAGTACAACAATCACGACAAACAACCGTGCACTAATCGTCCTTGTAGTCAACAAGTCGGTTAATATCTTTATTACTCACCGATCAAATTCCACATTTGAGAAATGAGTTAAATTATTCACACAGCGCCCGCTTGTGTTGGGATATAAATAGATTTCTTGCTGCCTCTCGCAGGACGATTATGTCAGCTGAGCGCTGATTGGCTAGTTCGAAGTGTCATGGCCGACCCGACGCGGCACACGCCGTTGCGACGTGATTCCCGTGTGGGGCACATTGTCGTGAGCGATTGTTCTGGCAAATAATACGGTTACTGGATTTGTTATGTGACTGCTTAAAATATGTTTCACAACACAGCGAACAAAAACCCAGTTAAATACTTTCGATGGCGGCGGTATCTGACGAGCCAGTCAAGGTCGTTGTCTGGATCCGTTACCCAAACGAGTTTCTGAAAATGTGTTAAGAATTTTGCTTTTGAAGCAATCAAGACCAAGCTGATTTCTGTGTGTATGAATGTCCTGATATATTTGCAGGTGTGTCCTCAAACTTCTCCACTTAAAAAGAATTGCATTGTGCATGAGTATTTTGAAAAATGAAAAAAAAGAAGACCAACCCGAATTGTCAGTATCTTAATTGATATTACAAAAAGCATTTGTGTTTAAATATTACTCAAGGAGATATTATCAAATGAACTCTTATCAACGAATGTTACGTGTGTTCAAATCTATGGGGGTTGGTGGCGTAGCCTAGTGGTTAAAGCGTCCGCTCGTCACGCTAAAGACCCGGGTTCGATTCCCCACATGGACACAATGTGTTAAGCCCATTTCTGGTGACCCCGTCGTGATACTGCTGGAATATTGCTAAAAGCGGCGCAAAATCGTAGTCACTCACTCATAACTATGGATACATATTCTATGATAAAAAGGGCTTGTACAATGTTCTGTCCCCGTGAAGATCCGGGTTAGTTTGAGGCGACTAACGGGATCTGGTGGTCAGGCTTGCTGATGTCATTGATGCATGTCGCCGTATACCCATAATGTCAACCACTGCATTGTTTGGTCCAGACTCGATTATTTAGAGATAGCTGGAAAAATGCAATGCGGCGTTTAACAAACAAAAGGTGCAATGGATATATTTTACAATACATTTACTGTTTAGTTTGATAACGGTGTAAGCATCTACATCGAAACGTCGCTTTATGCAGTGAACAAGAAGTTGTCATCCATAAAGTTGTAAGCTTTATTTTTGACTCACCAACTTCTAGAATGCCGATCAAACAATTACACTGAATGTTTCTTTAATATGTGAGTGAGTGAGTGACTGAGTGAGTATGGTTTTACGCCGCTTTTAGCAATAGTCCAGCAATATCGCGGCGGGGGACACAAGAAATGGGCTTCACACATTGTGCCCATGTGGGGATTCGAACCCGGGTCTTCGGCGTGACGAGCGAACGCTTAAACCACCAGGCTATCCCACCGCCCCTTCTTTATATGTACTATCTGTAACAAAGACACCGTTTTGCTCTAAAACCTGTTGAATAACAGAAGATTTTTTATGGTACTTTGAATGGCGTTTTGTTGGGTCATCTTCACTGCACAACACAAGCCACATGTTTATTTGTTAACGCCGCATTCAACAATATTCTAGCGATATAGGATTTTGTGGATTACACATTAAGCCAGAGCATTGTCTTTGTTCATTTGGGACTGACGTACTTACAACAAAACTTTGAAGCTATTTGAGGAAATAGGTCAGGTAGTTTCAAGTATAAGCATCAGAAACGATTAATGACGATGTTAATCAGAGCTTGTGTCCGGTTGAAGGACGTGTGTACAATGATTGCTATGTGAAGGCATTGTGGTGTAGTCAAGTGGTATGAGATGCCTCACTACACTGTGCTAGGATTCGCCCCGAATATGACCTTTCTCTGTGTCAGCACAGGGAATGATTGAGTTTAGTTTTACGCAGCTTTTAGCAATATCCCAGCAATATCACGGTGGGTGACACCAGAAATGGGCTTCACTCATTGTACCCATGTGGGGAATCGAACCCGGGTCTTCGGCGTAACGGGCGAACGCCTTAACCATTAGGCTACCCCACCGCTCCTGTGAACCCTTACTGGCTCTGTAATTGAGCGAGCGAATGGGTGAGTGATTGAGTGAGTTTGGTTTGACACCCAATTGGACTGCAAGATTAAACCACGACGCCTCAGCTTATTGTTTGAGCTAAGCCCGAAGTGGTGCAGGTCTCGGGCAAAGTGCGGTGTAGACAAACCTGCAAACGTTCGAACCCGCGGTCGTGTCTTTCTAAGAGTGCTTGCTACCGGGACCACCAACCTTCAAGTGAGGCATCAGCCGGGCGTTATAATCAGTGTGTTGTTTCGCCAAATGAAAACCAAAACACACTTCGAGAGATGCCAAGGTTAACAATTTTTTAATTTAAGTTATTTTGCAAGCTTTGTACTGTTTGAGTCACAGGGATCTGTTGCTAACCTTGAACTAGCGCCGAAACAAAGGCAGCCAAACACTCTTCTCTCCTATTATTGATGCAAAATGTCTAACGTTCACGCAAAAGTTGAAAAAAATAAATTCCGCTCCCGAGCAAGCACCCCGACCCACAATCCCTATTCGGAGCCTCCAAACGAGAGACTAACTGTAAAGTGTAGCATGAATTTTCACACTACAATACCTGTATTGGAATATTACTGACTGACTGAGTATGTTTTACGCCGTTTTTAGCAATATTCCAGCAATATCACGTCGGGGGACACCGGAAATGAGCTTCTAAAATTGTACCCATGTGTGGAATCGAACCCGAGCCTTCGGCGTGACGAGCGAACGCTTTAACCACTAGGCTACCCCACCGCCCCGTATTTGAATATTTACTTCGTGAGTATTGCGACATCAGCAGCCCTTGTCGGGGTGAGGGTGAGGGTGAGGTATTATGCAGTGTTTAACTATATTTCACCAATATGACGCTGCACCGATGTGGGACAATGATAGCGATGTAAGGCGCGAGTAGCGAACACTGTCTCCACATGGCCACCTCGCAGCCCCATGACCCTGCATAGGCAGGTCCAGGATGAATATTGCTGACTGAGCAGAAACTGTCAATGATGAAATTGCTCGCATCATCGTGGACACGTTTATCGGTTACATTTGTCGACGTTGCAATACGGGAGTGGTGATTACCTGCTATCTACCGGTCAGATAGATAAAGAACGGGTCAATCTCCAAGGAGTGTGACACTTTCACTGTTTCAGTGGTCAGTTGTGACGTGAAAACAAAGCCGGTCTAAATATTACTTTATGCATTTAACATATCAGCCAGTAGAATCACAACCTATTTGACCTTGAGGTGAGTGAGGTGAGGTGGAAAGGTGTTTCACGTCGCGATTATTGCATTTAGCGACGTGCTTGTCCGTCTCACAGTCTCTGTTCCACTTCAAGTCTAGATTACCCCTGCACCGGTGTTCCTTTTCAATTAAAGTAAAATCATTTGTTTCTATCGAAATTATATATGTAAGAGGGACAGGATTGTCATGACATTGTGGGCTTATGCTACCGAAAGAGGCATAAAACTACACTCACGTTTTCACTATAAACATGGGCCAGGGGGCTAAGGCGACGTAGTTTGCAGTGCACGGTTGCGTCCCTTATGCGAACCAGGATCTCATGATCGTTGATCCGTGACCCGGTTTCTCCTGGTTGTGTTTCCACGTGTGTCAGCCCCACATATCTGTGTTCGTGTTTCACTAAAGCAGTTAAATATCCAAGACCAGCGTTACTTGAGGCTCTCCTTCCACCTCCAGTACCACCGTGATATAACTGAGCCCTATGGTTAAAGCGTTCGCCCGTCACGCCGAAGGCCCGGGTTCGATTTCCCACATGGGTACAATGTGTTAAGCCCATTTCTTGTGTCCCCTGCCGTGGTATTGCTGGAATATTGCTAAAAGCGGCGTAAAACTAAACTCACTCACTGCAGCATCCACCCAAACCATTACATAACAGCCATTATAATCTCGTATCAAACGTTGGTTTGTTGTTTTACGCCGCAATCGGCAATATTCCAGCTATATGGTGGCGGTTTGTTAATAATTGAGTCTGGACCAGACAATCCAGTGATCAACATCATGAGCATCGATCTTCGCAGTTGGGATACGATGACATGCGTCTACCAAATCGGCGAGCCTGACCACCCGATCCCGATAGTCGCCACTTACGACAAGCATGGGTTGCTGAGGGCTAATTCTAAACCGATCTTCACGGGCCTCGAGCCGTCGAGTCAAATGAACACGGTCATTTGAAGCGTTGTTTTGAAGCTCATATCAGTTTCAAGACCTGAAATTATAATGCCGTCACGATTTGACATTTCTGATAAACCCAAGAAAGTGCAAAATGGTCACATTTGTACTGATCTCATGGGCGAGAACAGCTCTGTCATTCAGTGAAACGGGTCTTTTTCATATCGTTTAGTGCTAGATTCACCCGTAATACAACGCCATGTGGTCATATTTCGCCATGTGTTCTTACATGTGCCCATACCGGCTGTACAGATAACTCGTGTACTTTGCCGGGGTTGACTAACTCTAGCAATATCAGTGTAACTTGTTATCGGCGCAGCCCTTCACCGACTTTTACCCCGTCACCGAATTACAAATAGCGACGTAAACAATTCACTCACAGGTACCCTCTGACCTCCGTTCCTCACCCCGATACCAGCCAATCAGAACGCAGTATGCAAATCAACTGATAGTAAACAAGCCCGCATGGTCTCCTATAAATGTGGGCATTGCAGCGTCGCTGTTCAGACAACTCAAAACGTGCTTTTGAAACATTGACTTGCAACTACTGCAACTATTTGCAATTGATACTTTTATATTTCTGACATCATGAGAGTCACCGACAGCCCCATTCGTGATGACGGATATTCGACTGGTGAGTTACTTTGTTGTTAAATATTCCTGGCACCCCAACTGACAGGTTCCGTAGAATTGATAATATCACAGTTTTTCATTATCCCGTTTTTCATTATCTTGACCAACTATTTCTTTCTCTTACAGATAATTCGGATTCGTCTTCTGCCGATTCTGATCTCTCAATCGCCGAGGTGAGGAAGCCTTTTACTTACTAGTATTTCATAATCCACTACTATGGCTAACGTTTTATGTTTGATTAACAAAATCTCCGATAGTGTTTCAATGAATGAAAACCTTTCTAGCTGTATGCCAAAGTGTTATTTTAACTGGAATTCAAATGAGGGAACAAAAGAAAGGAAGAGCTGGCTTATTATTTGGCAGCGCCAGCAACTGGTTCGCCCCGCGTGTCTAAACAGCTGATCACGTAAACAAGTTATCATGTGACATGCAAATAAGCTAGGTCACATTCGGGGTTTCCCCATCTTGTGCAACGGCTTGGCAGGAGAGAGGTTTTGTCGAATCTGCACTTTCTGGATGTTGACGTTGCTTCCGTATTGTTGTCTTTAAACAAATATCTGTGAGATGATCCTGGCGTGACTTCGATGGACAGCTACTGCGTCCAGACACATTGCATATTATCGTCTCTCGTCCAGGATCGCTAACCTTGAGGCAAGATGAATATAGTCTGTTCTATAAATAGTGTCGTACAAGTTATAGTCCGTTCTGTATAACGATGTCAAATATTTCCGGGTATCATGTCTTCTTTCTTTTGCGACATTTTGTTTCTTTGTTAACGATTTAGTTTTTTGAAATGAGGCAAATGTTTAAGCTATGAACGATTAATGTAGTAGACGTTTTGGTGCATATCTATTTCTCCATCAACAAAAGCGAATAGAATCCGCATTAAACATCCACGGTGTGTATGTAATGTTCTTATGTAAGATGTTATGATTCATTTGATTCGTTATATCCAATCATCGGAAGTGTTAATCAAGATGATCTTAGACATTTACCTGCGTCACTAACACGTGAAACATTCCTTTCAGCCTGACTTCGGCATATTGTTTGACGTTGATGGCGTGCTGGCCCGAGGCAGCACCGCTCTGGCCCCTGCGGTCAAGGCCATTGAGAAGTTGAAGGACTCCGATGGACAATTGCGCGTGCCATGTGCGTTCGTCACAAACGCTTGCAACAGAACCCACGATAAGGCGAAGCAGATAGCAGGATGGTTCAACCTTCAAGTAAGTTACACTTTGTTTTCACGTGTTAATCTATCAGAGAGTAGAGCTTGCTCCGGCTGAAGATGCTAACCATTTCTTCTTAAAATGTCCAAAATTTGTCAGTTGCCGTTTTGATCTGAAGAAAGACTTTGAACTATCAAAAGTTCAGTTAGACATTGATACCATTCTTTACGGAAACCCTGCTCTGCAAATACTATCAATGAAAATATCTTTAGACATGTGCATAAATACAGTGTACGAAGTAAGCGCTTCAATTAATCAATAATATGTCTCAATATTATTATGTCCATCCATTACGTCCAATCATTATTGTTTATTATTGTTCATGTTTCTGATGGGAGCGGGCGGTAATAAGTTACATAACTTGTGCCCAATCCATTTCAACACTGAATAAAATATGTTCAAACAAACGTGAATTAACTTTAGGTTTTTAAGTTACTCTCACGATAGTCTTAGATAGCATTTGCATCTTTATCTTAAATCCTGATAAAATATTTGTTTCAACTTTTTACACCGATTTGGATCAAAACTACAGTTGTATCCATCACTTGAACTACAACACAATTGGTCTTCTGTTGCAGGTGTCATGTGACCAGGTGATTCACGCTCCGACTCCAGTGAAACTATTGCGTCAATTCCACGACCAACACGTGTTGGTGATTGGCCAGGAACACAGAATAGAGATCGCCAAAGAGTATCCTTTCGTAATGACATATCACTTGCTGACTTAACATTGATAGATGGGTTGTGGCAATAAGTAATTCCTGTTTATTTTAGACTAACGCTTAGTCTCTGAATATATATAATTTTGATTGCAACAAATCAACCCATTTAAACTAAAGGAGCCTGGGTGAGTTGAGGAATTCCTGAACCTGGGGAAATCTAGACTTGCTTCATTTAGGGCTTTAGCATTGCAGGGAGGGCTGTGTAGAAGGGACTGTGAGACAGACTATGTTTAAGTAAATGTCCAACAAAATCCACTAATTACGTTATCGCTCACTAATGCCACTATCAGTTGTTAAATCTGTCTATTATCCTTAACCTGAAAAAGTCTTGGCTTCTCAAACCTGTGCACGCTTGACGATGTGAAGGAGGCCTATCCTTTGCTGGACATGGTCGACCACGAGAACAGACAGATCGTTGCCAAAGGCTACAAGGAAAACAACGACTTTCCTAGAATCGAAGGTGAGGAGGGCGTCTCAGCGTCTGAAATATATTTCTATGTACATACAGGACGAATGTTATACTGCTTTAATGATAGGGGTATACAAACATTCATCTGAAATTTATTTCTGATTTGAAACGATGCTCACTCACTCACTCTAGTCGTGTCATCTCGCGTATGCTGCTGAAAGAGGCATCAAACCATCCTACCAAACTTAACCATTCCATGTTTCTTGCAGCCATTCTGTTGTTGGCCGAGCCTACGCATTGGGAGGCCAACCTCCAGCTGTTGATGGACCTGCTGTTGACCGAAGGCAAGCCCACCAAGGCGCCCGCTGACCCAAAATGTGTGCCACAACTTCCGGTGATTGCATGCAACATGGACCTTCAGTTCATGGCCGAAGCCTGCATTCCCAGGTAAGCATTCTAGGTCCTTGAGGCTTCCTGTTCCAGATCCCTCCTCCCAGTTGCCATTTCTGGTGCCCCCCGGCGTGATGTTGCTGCAATATTGCTAAATGCGGGGAAAACCATACTCACTCACTCCTTCCTGTTCCACCATTGCCCTCCCTCGAGATAGCAGTCTAATATGTTTGAACAACACAAACGCAATTTCTTTGGACACTCGCTTTCTCCATCTTTTCCCATCCTTTCCCCATCCTAGTCCCAGTGTTGAAATAACAGTTAAAACAAAACTAGAGTTAAATCCGATACCTCTTGCTCAATATTCGAATATTGGTCCAATGCATAGTATTTACATTTAATGTTTTAATTTTCCAGGTTCGGACACGGAGCTTTCCTCGTTTGTCTTGAAGCTTTATATAAAGTAAGTTCCACTATATGCTTTGTGTTCAGTACTATGTTAACGGGAGTTGTAAAACAGTATAATATATATAAAATTGAACGTGTCAGCAATATGGTGATTTAAATAAAGTAGTTTGTAGTGTAGGTAGTCATCGGAGTCGCTTCAATCATATCCATTTGAGCTTAAGGGGCGGTTGGGGTAGCCTAGTGGTTAAAGCGTTCGCTCGTCACGCCGAAGACCAGGGTTCGATTCCCCACATGGGTATAAAATTAATATGCGAAGCCCATTTCTGGCGTCCTCCGTCGTTTTATTGCTGGAATATTGGTAAAAGCGGCGTAAAACTAAACTCACCGTTTTGAGCTTAATCCCTGCCAACCACCTCTAAATATTTCTTCCTCCGTTTTCAGAAGATCACTGGGAAGGATCTGCAGTATTCAACGCTGGTCGGCAAGCCCTGCGAGATCACATACAGGTTCGCCGAACACACAATATGCAAGGTGGCTCAAACCATGGGCATCAGGAAACCCATCAAACGCCTCTATTTCATTGGGTAAGAATTATACTGACAAACATACATTCCAAAATAAAAAAAGTACCTATTATGCCCTCAAATAGATTAAATTTTAAAGATTTGGTTTGTTTGTTTGACGCAGCACCCAGCAATATTCCAGCTATATGCCGCGATCTGTAAATAATCCTGTCTGGACCAGACAATCCAGTGATCAACAGCATGAACATAGATCAACACAATAGGGATACCAATACATGTTGTAACTATGTCAGCGAGCTTGACTGCCCGATCCCGTTAGTCGGCTCTTACGACAGACAATCCAGTTAAATTTTAAAGAACTCACACTCTCACTGATAAATGCAAACTCTACAAATTAATATCACGTCAATTAATGACCGACAAATGAAATACATGTTTGTGACCTTTATCTTTCAGCGACAACCCGAACGTAGACATTTACGGTGCCAACCTGTACGACCGCTACCTGCAGAAGGTGTGGAACAACAGACAGAACGGTAACGACGACACCGTTGCCCACGGCCTTCCTTCCTCTCGGCACATTCCGTCAAACGCCGACTTGCACGAACAGACGGTCGAGAGGTGCCACAGTTTACTCGTTGGTACCGGTGTGTACAGGCACAAACCGGAAGTGACTGAGAAAGAGGACGACAACGACAAGGACAAGACGTATCACGGCCATCGCGACATCGACAACGAACCTCACTTGTCCCAGCCCTCTAAGTTTGTTCAAGACGTCGATGTCGGAATCCAGCACATACTGGAAGTGGAAAATTGTATTACGGCATGATGTGAACATTTTTACGACATTAAACCGGAAGGAAGATTCTGATTATGAACGTAAAAACATCGGAAATCTCGCCGACCTCACGCCAGCCTTTCCGTATCATGGAAGCACAGTTTGTGAGGGACCCGTTCGGCGTCCCGTATTTACACGGAAAGAAATCATATGCAAATCGCCTCCAGGCTACACTGTGATAAGAGACTGGTGCTGCTTCGAAAAAGGCTGACCGATGTTTAAAGACATTGTACATACTATTGTTGCCTAGTCTTCGCCATGACGTGCTCGTCACCAGGTCATGTCCTCGTGTATCCACGGATTGAAAACGAGATTTTGACGTGACCTGTCCCAGTACGATGTACACTGATATTAATAGTCGCTGTGCGACATGTGACTGTCGTTACGACAATCTATATTGGATACCGGTTATCACGTGATTTATTTGAATGTGTATGAAAGCGTGTTAAATGCAATTTGTGGAAGTGGATGGTTTTCAGAGTAAATGTGAGAATGTTGCAGGACTAATTCCCAGGTACGGTTAATTCCGAATGGTTTGTGTTGTAGATGTAGGAGTAAGTGTTGTTCTCCAATATGAACGCAAATACATTTGTCATAGGGCAGTGTACACAATATCGATGTGATTATTTTTTGTACTACTTTTTCTTACATGAATAAATACATGTCATTTAATGATTTATTGAGTCCGTCTGTCGTGATTACAGCTTCCTGGGGCAAGGGAGATAACTGACTTTAAGACAGTTTTTCTTTCTCTGAAATAAGTAATACCGGGTTTAGAATTAATCATTTTACCGTCACCTCTGTGATGAGTGGAAACCGGAAGGTTCGATAACACTGTGATTGACTGAATGTTGTATTATACCGCTTACACCAATACTTCTACGACGGGCTTTAAAAATGACATCCATAGGCAGCAATCAGAGCCACCAGGATGTACAGTGGTATTCAGTCACTTGCAGTGTGAGTGTTTGTGCGTGCGCGTGTGCGTGCGTGTTGATTAACGCCGCTTGGCAATGTTCATGCTGTATGACAACTGCCTGTAAGTAATCATGTCTTCACCAGACAATGCAGTGACTGATATTATGAACGACAATCCCCGTCAGCGGGTCACACCGACATCAGTCATGGCACCACGCATGTATATCCAATTCATTAAGTCGCCCATAAGGAGACATATTGTAGACACGTATCCCAAAGACGCCATACTTTGAAGTGGAAGATGTAGGGTTGCCGTATTAACCGCGGAAACAAAAGGCGTAAGGAAGCTCATTGGCAATAAATAAAATATGTCCCATCAGATTGCTGACTCTTTTCAGTGCGGGGCAGGTAAAAGCCAAGGTCGTCAATGGTGAACGGGCACGACACAGTTCTATTTGCGATGAATAAATGTACGTAAACTCATTGTGACAGCGAGGTGTAAGTGTCTCCGAAAGAATGGCGACTAGCGCGCTGACTGGTGCCATCAATTCAACATGTTTTAGTGCATGTCCTTTGTGTATACTGTGAAATAAACAAGAAAATGGGTGAGTTACTGCTACGAATTCTGAGCAGGGATTTTGGCTCGGAATCGAGAAATCACGATTTCCGAAGCCCCTAGTTCCCAAAGTACTGCTTTGATTCTTGTGCTGTATGTCTTATTGTGTAGGTAAATCTATTGGCTTGAAATGTGTGCATACTTTGAAAGGGATAAATGCAGTGAGCATTGTTGAATTCGCCCTGAAACGAACTTTGTGTGTTGACCTCGTTACATCCCTTTGCTTTTATATAGTGATAAAACCCCGTTGGTGACAGTACAAACCTTGATGGCAGTTTTTAGCGTTACAAGCCCCTGTGATTTTGCCTTTGGAGATTCTCATTTGAAATTATTTCATTTCAATGTACGTCTGTCTGTGTTTCATGTTAGGATTCTGATTTTTGTGGCTATATTCAATTTTCCTGACATTTTTAGCCTTCGCTTTTAGTTTTTTGGTGTAAATGATGTATTACAGTTCGAATGAAATGGGGGGGTATCTGAAAACTTGAAACACTGAAAACGGTTTTATGCCCCTTACGAGCTCCATAGAAAAGATGGCGCAATATTAATTTAGAGTTACTTCCCCTGGGTATTTTCTGGAATGACGCTAACCGAGTTTTCCAGCGAAATACGTAGATTCTAAATGTTGGAAAACTCGGGAGGCTGAAAGCTGTACTCTAGAGTAGAGGTAAATACAATTCCCTTTGTTTACATCTCTAGAAGACCTGTTGTCCCCATATCTTCATGGTGTTCTTGGTTATAGCTGCGCTACAGCGATAACTGGACCAAGGCCCTATTCTCGATAAGAATCCTAGCGCAAGGATATCGTAAATTAGGACAAATTCTAGGATAGGTTCTGACTATGAGGAATGAAACTCGGCGGTCGATTTTTTAAAGGTATTACCAATAACACCGTTGTCGATCAATCTGACTGATGTATATCATAGGAAATCAAAAGAAGTACTAGAATCTGTACTTTACTGAGAAAGTGTAATCCCAATATGATGCTGTAATCTGTTCAAAATGGACCCGTCTTTCGCCATATCCATAGCCTGAAAACTATCTGCATTGGATATGTTCCATTTTGATATCTCACTTTGATAAATGATGAGTGAAGTAAAACACGCCCGTTTGAAAATCAGGAATATTCGATTCTAGTGATCGTGAATAACGATATGAATTTATTGAATGGCTACGGTTCGATTGACGGAATACGTGAGCGGACGGTGTCATCCCTGGAAACAAAATGGTATTACAGTGAAAATCCATTCTTGTTTCGCCGAGGTAGACATATGTTTTTTAATGGATTAGTGGGTTATACTAAACACTGAACTGCATAACTCGCTCACTTTACTCACACTCTCTCAGCCCGGCCGCTCCCACACTACGGTCACTGGGTACACTCTGTACCGATTCTCAAACCTCATCCTTCTCAACTAAGCCGCCTGAGACAATTATGTTCTCAACACCCTAGGGCGGTGAGGTAGCCTAGAGGTTAAAGCGTTCGCTCGTCACGCCGAAGACCTGAGTTCGATTGCCCACATAGGTATAATGTGGAGAGCCCATTTCTGGTGATATTGCTGGAATATTGCTAAAAGCGTAAAACCTTACTCACTCACTTTTTACACCCACTCACCCAGCTCCATAAACAAGCTTCACACACTCCACGGACCAGTCAGTCATATTCTCATCCTCCTCTCATGACTATGCACATATCTTCAGTACAATACTATCACAAATAATTGGCAAACACCCATCTTCGATGCTCATTTAATAATATTTCAGGACAAAAGGGGTGGGTGGGGTGCGCACCCCTGCATCCCCCACCCCTGCATCCCCCACCCCACATCCTATGTTTAGCAACTGTATATACAAGACACATGATTACAGTACATGATGACACAGGCTGGGACACGCTACATCTCATCCCAACAAACAACTCACACTTGTCACAGCTACAAGTGATATACAACATGTTATAACAAAACAATTATACATAATTAGAAGTAAGGTTATGTTTACAATTTCATAGGATACAATAAAACAGTATACTTATGCATTTTATGATTAGGGACCGATCATAATTAATGGTTAGGGGGCGAGGGGAGGTGTGTGTGTGAGAGAGAGAGAGAGAGAGAGAGAGAGAGAGAGAGAGAGAGAGAGAGAGAGAGAGAGAGAGAGAGAGAGAGAGAGAGAGAGAGAGAGAGAGAGAGAGAGAGAGAGAGAGAGAGAGAGAGAGAGAGAGAGGAGGACATGTACAATGTGAATGCCCCCGCCCCCTATAATTTATGTACAAAGTAGTAAATGCCCCTCCCCTGCATGTCATATACAAAATCAATGCCCCCCACCTCCCCTTCCCAAAATTCTTACGCATCATTTAACATTATTTTAATGTATACACAAATATGCTGACACCACCTAGGACATGTGTACAGATGACCCCCTTAGCTGCCCAGAACATAATGGGTGACACCCCGTTTAAATCTCTCCCACCAAAACATAAAATAAAAAAAAATAAAAAAAAAATAATAATGATATGAAGGAATAGAAATAGAAATAATTGTATAAAAGAAAATAAATTGAAGCCATATATTATGAACGGTCCCCAATCCTCACGAATTAGCCTCGCTGACTCGGCAGGGGCATGTTCTCATTTCGCCTACAGTCTTAAAACAACATGTCATGGTCTGTTGACTACGCAATGGTAAACTAGTGGCACCCCTATGATCTAAAAGTGGACTCTTCTAGTTGAAGTAGTTGAAGGACAAAAAGACATTTTTTAAAGAATTTATTTCTATTATTTGTCTGTTATTTATTTACTCTGTTAATTGTCATTTTCCTATCACAATGATATTCACATCATATCACATCACATTGGTGTTAAGGACGTTTACTTGTGAGGATGTCCATTCTCATTTCATCACGAGCACCTTGTCTCAGTCTGGTGAGGAGTCTCTTCTTCATTCATCAGAGGAGGGTGCTCTGTGACGGAAGATATGTGGTCGCCAATGGCACTGCATTTACACTTACATTGATCTATGACGCACTTACAGTGTGTGGCTACTTGTCTCACAACATTCAGTCGATACTTGTGGTCATCGCGTTGTACCTGTCTTCCTCCTCTCTGAGACAAGATGAACTCTGGCCTCTGCAGGTTAGCCATTGTGACTGTCAGTGCTTGGCGAGCGCTCCAGTTTATATGGTTAATTTGGTTTAAAGCCTATTAGTAGCAGAGAACTGGGTATTTTATTATAACCTTGTTTGGACTTCTTAGTGGATGCACCAATCCTCTTTACTCAACTACATATCATCATTGCTTTTACAATTTAGCTTGTGCATTAATCCCTTTCATTTTATTTTAACTGAACTGAACTTTATTTCAACTCAGGCCGCAGACAGCGGCATATGAGGTTAATTATATGTTGCAATTAAATATATTCATATAGTTATATACACTGTATTTGCAGTCGAGTATTTCATATATACAGATGAATAAGTAATGCATTATATATATTTTTTTTTTTTTCAAAATTTGAATAATTCCAGATATAACTAAGTCCAATTTCGTCAAAAATATATTCAATATTCATTATCCATTTATGCTTACTTTTTCCAAAATGTGTGTCGTTAAAAAGTAATTTTGAGATGAGTAAGGATAATTTGGAAGATTCACATAATTAGTATGGCACTGACCAGTGAGTCAGGTTCATTATAAGAGTAGGGGTGCATTTTCTAATCCCAATTAGCCTACATTGTTTTTGTATGAGAAATGGGATATAGGCGAATTGAGATGTAGGCGAATAGAGACTAAACCGTGGCAGGGGTATTCCCCGAGCGGGTTACCCTGTTTACACTGTTTACACTGTTTACATGGATAAACTAGGGAGTAGCTGCTTCAACTGTCAATACTTAATTAATACATATTTGTACCACCTAAGACCAATTCTCTCTTTCATCCTACCAATACTTTATATATATCAACTCAATACCGATTAGAAAATAGTCCAACAGGCACCTTTTCTAACTGTAGCGGCAAAGCTGAACATAACGACACAGAGCTCGAGTGAATCTAGGTCAGACGAGTTGACAGCGCTTTAAACTCCTCTTTTGAGAATGAAATTATTTAAATATAGGTTTTACCAAGGTAGTTTATTCACATAATATTCATTTAATAGTCATCATGGAAGTATTAACAAGAATTACTATATGATTTATAATGACATAAAAGATAAAAGGTCTATTTTATGGTGACACGATCAAACAAGCAAGGGAACTTGATGTAGGCTGAAGCTTGAACTGTATTTATCCTAATTCCTTCATATTTGAATCATTTAACAACATTATTATAATATCCCACTCATTTTACGAGTATTGTTTGTATATCCACTCAGATTTTACCATTAACCATTAGAAAAATAGTTAAATAGGCCCATTTTCAAAGCAGGCGATCGCGCCAGGTTGTGACGTCACGATGCAGGTCAAACACCAGCACCCGCCATTTTTAAATCTCTCTGCTGGAATGAATATGTACAGATTGAAGCTTACATGGATAGTATATCCGCATAATATTCGTATAATTAACACCTTTGTTTTATTAGGAATTGATTATTATCATATTTATACTGAGATAAAAGAACAGAAGAGCTTGATGACTTATTATGTAGAGCTCAGACAATACACGTCTTATCGCTTCCAAGAATGAACGAAAAATAGCTCGATTATTGGACTAGTCCATTTTGTTTCTAAATAGGGGTGAAAGCTACAAGTGTCTTCCGATGTTTATTACCATACGAGGTAAACAAAGTTATATTTAATACTATAACTTGTATTATAGCTAATTAATGACGTGTAACAGTTATTATAGTTTAATTAACCGATGAGAATATAATGAAAAACACTATATCTAATACTTGATTACCATACAGATATAATGGAATCACCTACCACTATATATAAGCAATTTTTTTCCATTTCAACTTTCATTGCAGAGCGAGCCGTCGAAGTGGACAAACGTGTAAACGTAGGGTGATATCACCTCTTTGTGACGAGTTGTTGGATTCATTCAATCTCTATCACATGTAAGAGTGTTATTTTACCCATGGCTAAGCTTAGTCAATACCTAGAGAAGATCGTGTTTGTCATCTTTGTAACTCACCCGCTGTTGGTGATACCTTTTACTACCTACTGAGGTGCGAGACTCTCCACCACCAGCGTGTGTAGCTAATTAAAGGTTATTACTTTCTTTGGGCTAAGTTTAGTTACTTTAAAAAACCTTTATCTACTAAGAATATCAGTGAATTAAACAATTTAGCAAAATTTATAAGTATTATTTTCGAAAACTCCCGATTCGCATTTAATTACTTGCACGATAATTGATTGTAATTGTATGTATACTGTACATCATTAAGACAATGTCTTAATTATGTTGTGTTTCTGTATATTTTTACTATATCACAATATGTTTTCGTTTTGTTTTTGTTGTAATTACCATTTACTTTTTTCCCTTTGTCCATCTTGTTACTTTTGTTTTTATGATTTAATATTATAGCTCATGTACCACGACTGGTGGCGTTTTTTGAGTTCATTAAAGAACTAGAAGCACAGTACACTGTCCAAACGTACCACACGTTGTTTCCTTGGCAGCTACAGTGTATGGGTGTGTATCCGACATCTCTCCGAATATATATTTGTATCTGTATAGTAAATAATAGCAGTGATTCAATTTTATTAGACAATAATTTCTATAAATAGATATTCAAGTCTATCTTAGACACTCACAGAGAGAAGACTTAAATGAGAAATAGAGAATGCTAAACGATGTCCCGTGTAATACTATATTTAAGAAACGAGTGAATGTACACAGGGAAACCCGTTCGGGGACTTCCCCTGCCTCGTCAGTGAGGCTCCACTGGCTGATCATAAAATGTATGGGATTAACTCAAGCCGAAAGTGGCTCAGAAGGAACAATTTACCTCAACTTTATCGCTTGAATTGTATTTTTGCTGTATTCTATAAAGATATCTTTGAATTGTGTGGAATTGAAAGGCCAACTTACCCGTAAAACACACACTGGAATATGACGTCTTTACGAGCGAAAAGTAGAATGGCGTTGCTCATAGTGCTATGATATATTATATCATATATTACAATCAATCCATATTTAAGACTGAAAGTCATGGGGAAAGGAAACTTAATTCGCCATGAAGGCACAAAAGGTGTATCTGACTGGGTTATATAGCTGACTTTATGTGCTGGCGATCAGGTGCCGGAGTCAGGGCTGTGGGCTCGAATTGCGGTTGGGACGCATTGAACATTGTACTTAAATGAGAGCGTGCAATCCTAAATTATTAGAACATACGGTGTAATCTGTTCAAAATGGACATTCACATTCGTCATTCAAATCTGTCTTTCGCCATTTCCATGAACACTGTATTGAATATATTCCATTTTGATTATCTCTACTTTGATAAATATAACACGAATTCAAGTAAAGAGACGCCTCCTTATAATCAGTTTGGTTGGTTTGTTTGTTGTTTAACGCCGCACTCTTGAAATGATCCACTCTGGATCCCCCGATCCCGTTAGTCGCTTCTTACCACAGGGACGTGTCACGCTTAGAAACAGCGTTAGTAAGACATATAGGAATATAGACCCTTCCCTAGTTCTATATAGCGTGTCTTGCTTAGAAACAGCGTTAGAAAGACATATAGGAATATAGACCCTTCCCTAGTTCTATATAGCGTGTCTTGCTTAGAAACAGCGTTAGAAAGACATATAGGAATATAGACCCTTCCCTAGTTCTATATAGCGTGTCTTGCTTAGAAACAGCGTTAGTAAGACATATAGGAATATAGACCCTTCCCTAGTTCTATATAGCGTGTCTTGCTTAGAAACAGCGTTAGAAAGACATATAGGAATATAGACCCTTCCCTAGTTCTATATAGCGTGTCTTGCTTAGAAACAGCGTTAGAAAGACATATAGGAATATAGACCCTTCCCTAGTTCTATATAGCGTGTCTTGCTTAGAAACAGCGTTAGAAAGACATATAGGAATATAGACCCTTCCCTAGTTCTATATAGCGTGTCTTGCTTAGAAACAGCGTTAGTAAGACATATAGGAATATAGACCCTTCCCTAGTTCTATATAGCGTGTCTTGCTTAGAAACAGCGTTAGAAAGACATATAGGAATATAGACCCTTCCCTAGTTCTATATAGCGTGTCTTGCTTAGAAACAGCGTTAGTAAGACATATAGGAATATAGACCCTTCCCTAGTTCTTTATTGCGTGTCTTGCTTAGAAACAGCGTTAGTAAGACATATAGGAATATAGACCCTTCCCTAGTTCTATATAGCGTGTCTTGCTTAGAAACAGCGTTAGTAAGACATATAGGAATATAGACCCTTCCCTAGTTCTATATAGCGTGTCTTGCTTAGAAACAGCGTTAGAAAGACATATAGGAATATAGACCCTTCCCTAGTTCTATATAGCGTGTCTTGCTTAGAAACAGCGTTAGTAAGACATATAGGAATATAGACCCTTCCCTAGTTCTATATAGCGTGTCTTGCTTAGAAACAGCGTTAGTAAGACATATAGGAATATAGACCCTTCCCTAGTTCTATATAGCGTGTCTTGCTTAGAAACAGCGTTAGAAAGACATATAGGAATATAGACCCTTCCCTAGTTCTATATAAAAGGAAAGGAATGTAACGACGGAACCACACCCTCCTCAATCAAAGTTAGATTTCACCACGTAAACTATTCTTAAGGCCCCATCGAGGCCTACGGATCAAAAGCGAGATGATTTCCCTACAAAATGAGCTACAAATGGTCACAATCGGATCATTATTTCAAAAGTTGTACGTCACGACTCACCGAAAACAGCTACCTCCGCAATTCCAAGCCAAAATCATGGATCACCCAAGACAGCGAAAACTCACCTGTTAAATTCGTTTATTAATTCCAATCACGTTGACAGTACCTATGTAGGGCTAGATTCGATCGTCAGCGACATTCTAAAAACTTATTGCGGGATCTACAAATCATTTCCTCGATAGTAAGCAGGCATTTTCTTCAAAACCATGGGGGTGGTTCAGTCGTTACATCCCTTTCCTTTTATATAGAACTAGGGAAGGGTCTATATGCCTATATGTCTTTCTAACGCTGTTTCCTAAGCGTGACACGCCCCTGTGCTTCTTACGACAAGCATGGGGATACTGAAGTCTAATTCTTACCCGGATATTCACGGGTTAACAATCAGGAATATTCGATCCTAGTGATCGTGAATAACGAGTTGAATGTAGGAATGGATACGGCTCGAATCACGGAATATATACGTGAATCGTAGCAGCCCGAGCGTGGAGGTATTTCTTGGAATTCAACATGACATCACCCATTGTAGGGGCGACAGGGTAATGAAATAGTTAAGAAAACGCGGAAAAACATATTTCTCCGACATCATAAAATTGACTGTTTTTGTATTATTTTGAAGTTGTATTCATTGTGTTTATTTGGTTGGAATTATCTCTAGATTCTCAACGATATTACTTTGACACCGGTAGAACCGAATCCTGCCATTTTGAGATACAAACATTGACACGAAAGACACTGTTCTTTTGGGGGGACCGATGATTTTGTGGCCGTGACACGTTTGCCATTTTACTTCAATCAGTGCTTCCTGGAGTAAATCCCACTTTACCATGGGCAATATGGAAACTGCATGACGGTGGTCGAGTCTTTGAGTAGTCGAGTTTGGATCAGACAAAGCAAAGCAATAAACAATCCATCCCCAACTTGTTCAGGTGTTTCAGGGGCGGTGGGGTAGCCTAGTGGTTAAAGCGTCCGGTCGTCACGCCGAAGACCCGGGTTCGATTCCCTCATGGGTACAATGCGTGAAGCCCATTTCTGGAGTCCCCCGCCGTGATATTGCTAGAATATTGCTAAAAGCGGCGTAAAACCAAACTCACTCACGTGCTTCACGTATTACATTTTGTTTCAGGGAGGACGATATAGGCAGGGACATGAGTCAACGGTCCATTCTCAGTTTCTTTGCTCGATCGTCTGGTATGTATTGTACGTCCATCTTCACACAGATATACTCAGTAAAATTATAAACTTCACACTGATAAATTTCGACATTTTTCTTTTTCTGTTTAATTGTAAGTTCAGAAGCAAACCTTGACTACCTAGCCCATGAAGATGAAAACACGAAATGCGCGTGTGGAAAGCAAATTCATGAGGTCATTCAGTGCATGTTTGCTTAAACTGAAGAGGCACGTTGAATGTGAGGTGAAAAAATAAAGGCACACGTAAATTATCTGCCTGGTGCCCAGTGACACATTTCGGAATATATTCCATTCCTGTGTCTGGTTGCGGTGACAGATAAAGGCTGATTTAAGAGTTATGCATTAGAGAGAATTTTAACTGCTTATTAAATCAGTTAGATATTGCTCACATAATATTGCAGGAACACCGGCTACCCGCTCTCCATGAATACAAAGTGAAGTTATGTTGGTCTTGTTCGTGTTTCAGGCGAGGGGGGCTCAGCCAAGACACCTGCAGAACCACAGGTAATTAATAATTTGGTTACGACAAATTTCATATTCAAATTACATCCACTTTAAGTAGAAAAGTAACGATATGACTGGGAATATTGCCGATGTGACGTAAAATCAACTCACTCACTTTACATAGCAAAAAAAACCCGCAAACCTCTTGTTGACGTTTATTTAAACTTACATGTAGTATTTAATTCAAGTTTACATACATAAATTTCCATTGTTATGATTGTAATTCCTGCATTCTGATTAACTGATCTGTTCACATTAAATGTGAATTTCTAAATCATTTTGGTCTGCATTTAATTAATTGTTTTTGTTTAAATTGTGGATCACACGTTTTTCGTTGTCGAATTCAAATTTAAGGATTTCTGTGAATATTTATTGAGTCCTTGTGGCATAAAGAAATGAATTTAGATTGAAGAAACAGCGTGCAATCGATGCATCTGGTACAGTTTGCACCTGATCTTACGATTCAGACCCCAGGGAGACTTATGTCATGGCTGCCCATTGTTTAACATCTCCCTAGAAATCCCCCCACCAGTGAATTCAGACTACGGGTGTGTTGCAAAGAACCAATCACTTGCTTGCGATTTTACGGCGACAACTGTCTTGCTCGTGCTTCTCACAATCACACCTGTCTGACGTCTGCCGTCGCTTAAAATTGGCGGCTGACGGAAATTTAATTTGACAGAACAAGAAATTCGTCTCAGGGTTGCTCCACATTTTCAAAGTAGTCATAAATTCTTCGAGTTACTATTTCGTTCTATGCCAAGGCAGGGCGAGAGAGCGATTGTTGCGCTTCCGTTTTGGAAAAGTGAGCAAGCCCTTCGATCTGTTGTTGACCGATGAATTTGCGATTCGTGTCTTGGAACGCACCTAATGCTTCTGCCCAGAAACGACTGAGGTTGGAATACGACTTCCAGTATGCCCGCCACTGCACCCATATTTATGACCATTGTAATTGGTCATTCCAGTTCTATCATGTGGTTCAGTACATGTGTTGAAGAAAGGTAGGGTTCAACTTTCTGTCCCGTTTGTTTCATCAAAATTTCAGCTGTTTCACCATGATTTGATTTTCGGACTTTTACGGTGAAAGTTCAACCATACTACAATAACAACCTATGAGCATAACTTTGTCATTATGTTTTCAAAAGAAGCGGAGTGTGCTTAATCCGGTTTAATTTTGTTAAATTAGGTGTACGTATTGTTTTTCCTCAGCATGAATGTCGAAAATATTTGAATGTTAATGCTGACAACTACATGGCTTTCTCTTTTTCTTTGGATTTTAAACTGTTAAGACATATTCAGTTGCACTATTCTGCAGACAACATTTTGAACACTTTGTTGTTTAATGCCGCATTCAGCAATATGCCAGCTATATGGCGGCGTCCAGAAACTCCAGTGATCAACAGCAAGAGCATCAGTCTATGCAAGTGGCCTGGGATATGATGACGTGTCAACCAAGTGAGCTAGTCTGACCACCCGATCCCTTTAGTTGCCTCTTTGGACAAAGGGATAGCCTAGTGGTTAAAGCGTTCGCTCGTCATGCAGAACACCCGGGTTCGATTCCCCACATAAGTAAAATATGTGAAGCCCATTTCTGGTGTCTCCCGCCGTGATATTGCTGGAATACTGCTAAAAGCGGCGTAAAACTAAACTCACTCATTCCCACTAAGGATTAGCAGGGTTGCTGAAAAACGATCCTAACCCGGATTTTATGGGTCCATTTTGAAAAGCATTCCACTCTGTAAGACAACAACCAGCCATACTGAAGCAATGGTTATTAATTCACTTAATTCACATCTTAACGTACCCTTTATCTGATACATGACATGATGAGATGGACATAAGGTTACAACATTCATGACTTTATATATATATGACCATCGTAAACATTTTTTTCCAGCACAGCCAACATGACAGTGATCTCGGGGCTTCCGAAACACAACGTAACTACATGCAAACATCAAGTTTGGAACTGGATGAAATTGAATTCTCCTCAGACACAGATTGTAGCTCCAGTGGAGATGAAAACGAAGAAGGACCTGTGCCGGGCAACAAACAAAGAGTTTCATTCCCCACACTCAGCATTTCAAAAATAAAAATCAACAAGAAAGACGAAAGCAAGACAGCAGAAGAGATTATTTCAAACATTACAAGGCAAGCAAGAAAAAGGAAAAGGAAACATGGAGGAGAAACGCCTAGAAAGAAGACAAGGGGCACAGATGGACTAATAGATCCCCAAGTGCAGCAGACATCTGACGTCCGGAGAGAGAGTGCCATCTCTGAAGGTGTCCCTAATACTTCTGAATCACAGTCAGCAGACGGGGACAACAATGGACCTGGTACTTCGCAGCACTCAGTTTTGGATCCAGCTAAAGCTGATCGAAAGGCAACATTGAAGGAGCTGCTTTTGAAAGAAAATGTGACTGGCAGATTACAAGAACATGAATCTGGCTTTCAGGTTAAGCTGTTTGAGTGCACAACACCCATACAGTGTCAAATGTCACCTGCCATCGAGTCTATCATAGAACCAAGGCAATTACAACATGTTAATCAAAGAATAAGTTACATGATTTTCTTTTACAGAGACATGGATGGTCCAGAAATATTTGCTGCTGTATCAGGAATGGCTTACTTACATGTTGATCAGAGAAGCTGTCCAGAATTTCCAAAGAAGATAGCAAGACGACTTCTGGAGCCAACAACAATTGAGCTGGATACAAGGAATGTGACAGGAGACACGTCACAAGTCAGGAAACAATACATTCCAGAGAGAGGAGGAACCATCAACATTTGGGATGTCATAGACGTGGTCGTCCACAAGTACATTGCTAAACCAAAAAAGATGGCATCAATCCTCAAGTTCTGCAAAACTTGGCAAATCAAACGCCCATCAATTGCAATTAAAAAACTTTCTATTGGGGTTATGACAAAATTTCCAAACATATTTGACATGCAGGAAATAATTTCTCATTTTGCAACTATTGACAGAAATGAGCCTACATACCAGTTTGGTTCCAGTCAAAGAAAAGATGAAGAAAAAGATGACGAAACATTTGCAATGTTTGACTTGATGCAGGAAGAACACAACAAGGAGACAATCAAGAGGCTTCAAGAAAACTTGTACATAAGAATCAACAGATATCTCAAGAACAAATCTGAAGAGTACATCCAGCTTTCTTGTGATGATCTTGATCTCTGGCTAAAAGCAAGTGAGTATAGGCTTTTCCTAGACACAAAATCAAAGAGGTCTCCCATAAAAACATGGAAAGAGAGTCCACCAAATTTCAGAGATGTCTTACAGGCCTTAAGTGAACATATCTTGCAAAACAAGATTTTTGGAAAAATGCTGCATACTGATGTAAAGATGTCTCTGCGCAATGCTGGTGGAACACCATGCCCAAAGAAACCCATCACCAGCTTCATCCAATCAAACTTCGCATCTTCTTCCTCCTCACCTTACTACTTTTGGTGTGGGAAATGGCTGAAAATAAAACTTGAGTATTTCCAAATGCTGGATGAAAGTTTCATGTCTGTCATAAAACAGCAAACAATCACCTCAGCAGGTTTGATGCCTTTGCCTTGGGTTCATTCACACGCAGGGGAAGCGTCTGTCAAACTGACAACAAAGAGATTTTCACTGGATTCTCTTCATGAGTTTCTGACTGATTTCCTCCCTAGCAAGGAAGTGGTCTTGGACCTACAGGAAACCGAGAAGCTCTTGAGGTCTCATGGTGAAGTTAGAGAGGTTAAAGGTGGCATAGTGTGCTCTTATCAACCAAGCGATAATGAACATGATGAAGACCCATTGAAATCATGTGTACAATTATTTCTCAGAATGAACACACCTCTTACGGAAGGTATGTACAATGACACTTACATCCTTTTGGACAAACTAATCAGAATGAGAATAGAGCCATTACAGACTGGCTTCCTAGTTGGAGACCGAATGTTCATTAACAACATAGAAATGTTTGATATAATCATGTACAATCAGACACACACGTACATCATCCATGTCAAGGAAGGTTTTGACAACAACACAAGAGTCGTGGCATCTCAGATTCGAAACTCTGCAGATATCCTCTTCAGGGCACTGACTAGTCACATGACCAAAACTGTTCTTGATGAAATGTGGGACCACTTCACGAGAGAGAAAACAAAGAAATCAGGTATAAAATCTCAATACACCCTTGGAGAACTAGCAAAGAAAGAGGGAATGGAAAAGAATCAGCGTGCAATGAAATCAAAGCTAGAAGAGATGAAAAAAGAGGGGTTCATGAGGCTCTTTAAAGAAAGAGAGATTGTTTATGTTTTGGCGGCAAGGGACAAGTCAGAAGATAGGACAATGGAAACTGCTGATGCATTGATGACACAGGTTCGGAGTGAATTTCCTATGAAATGTGAGAAGATCTTGCAAAGTCTTGAGGCAAAACTGTACGTGCAGAAGAAACAAACTCATCATGTGGTCACAGATAGGTTTAGATATGTGAATCAAGAAAACTTTCTCAAAGATATGAAGAGCGATACCCCTGGCAAATACAACCAGTCAGACAAAGAAGGGGAAATTCATGGAAGCAGCAGAATTGATTCCAAGGCTGTTTCAAGCACAGAATTGCAAAGTTCAACAGATGAATTGACCAGAGGTTTTGATAAAAAGATACCTCATGCTTCATCATCTGCTGGAAGTCCACAAGAGAGTCTTACAGTGACAGAGGATGCTAGTCCAAGACACTCAGCAGTACCTATCACTCAAGGTCTCTGGAAGAAGGTATATTCAATTCTAAAAGATCAGCTCCCAGATACCAGGTCATCCATTGTCAAGTTGGATCTTTTAAGTCTCTTTAGTCATTTCCGAAAATATCAGATTGGGGAAAGAAAGTTCCAGCTAAAGGTTTGCTTTATTCCAAAGTCCAACAATGACTTTAGAGAAGACCTTGGATCATTTCTAAAAGGTTTGAAATGTTGACAATCTTCTGGCCGAGGATAAATTGCATGAAATATGGAAACAGATGTGATTATTGTCGATAGAGACTTCAGATAACAGCAGTGAAGTTGTGACCGTTTTTTCCTAGGCAAGATAATTAGGCTAACTGTGACAGAATCTTCACTTTGCCATAGACTTGTCACATCAAGTTGAATAGGCTTATTGTGACAGTATCTTCGCTATGCCACAGACTTGTTCACGTACACCTGGTATCATCACTATTTGATAGTGATTCGCAAACACGCAATGGACTCTTTTGGTAGAGATGAATGACCTGTTGCCTTTAATAGTACTACTTAGCAGCATGATCTACTTGCTATTGTACAATGGGCACTTCTTTGGTTCATATGAATGACCATGGAAATGTTTTCTGTTGCCTTTAAGATACTATTTAGCAGCATGATCTACTTGCTATTGTACAATGGACACTTCTTTTGGTAGAGATGAATGACCATGGAAATGTTCTCTGTTGCCTTTAAGATACTATTTAGCAGCAATATCTACTTGCTATTGTACAATGGACACTTCTTTTGGTTGATATGAATGACCATGAAAATGTTTTCTGTTGCCTGTAATATACTAGTTACTATTTAGCAGCATGCTGTACTTGCTTTTGTACAATGAACACTTCTTTTGGTAGAGATGAATGACCTTGGAAATGTTTTCTGTTGCCTTTCAGATACTACTTAGCAGCATGATCTACTTGCTTTTGTACAATGGACACTTCTTTTGGTAGAGATGAATGACCTTGAAAATGTTTTCTGTTGCCTTTAAGATACTATTTAGCAGCACCTTCCAACAGATTTTTCCTGTGTGGCAATTAAAAAATGCAGTGAAGTATTATATTTCTGAAATGACAACTAATGTTATGGTGTCTTTCTCATGTTTAATTACCTGGGACCAGACCCATTGGCTAAGATATTTGTAACCTATCTCAGGTTGTGAGCGGTCATAACACCGTGAATGCCCTGTGAATTACTAAGTAAATTGTAAATAAAATACAAGGTCTTATCAGGATTATTTCAGCCATATAGTGATGAGAAAATGTTCAAAGCTTACTTGTCATTAATGTTGTTACTGCACTGCAATCACTGGATTGTTTGGTCCAGAATATTGCAGAGTTCGGTGTTGAACGAAATCTTTAACCGATATTCATGTAAGAGAGTAATCTCCCCTCATTTCTTGTTAGTGGCAAACTACTCTAATGACAACATGGACTAATTTCCTGAGACACTGTCTAGCAGTATTCAATTCAAAGTCATTTTGAACAAAAATTTTACAGCATAGATGTCCCAGTTCTTTTCTTTTGTCTGACTGCAGGGAATTAAAATTCATCTGAATACAACAGTCTTTCATAAAATGTGAAATAAGAAATATATAACTGCCTTTTGGCTTCCAAAAACCAAACACAAAAAGGGTATGGAATAATTTTATATACACCAAGAATGATTCATTGCATGCATCTTTTAGAATGTTCTTGGGTCGATAAATACTTAGAAGAAAATTTTACTGAGATAACCAGAAACACCTGTAACCAGTGTCTAACTGCACCAAATGTGAAGGTATCAGCATAAAACAGGAAATTATCTTTCATAGAACACAATCTGTGAGGTAAATGGTCCTTCTTTTCAGACATTCATTGTCAACATAATTTATGTTATTATGAGGCTCACGTGTAATCATTCATTTATGTTTTCTCTGCCTTTAGTTAGTCCCAAGTTGACTGTGCCATAAGAGCTCACATAATAATCCAACGAGGGTTCTGTGTGATCAAGTGACTAGCATGTGATTGTTGAGTTGTTTCTAAATTGCGGACTGAGAAATACGGATTAGGAGTCAAAATTGAAAGCTATTGTGTTGTAGGGTATAAAATGATATGAAATGGTTTGCTTTGCAGTATGGTTATCATCATGACTGAGCAATCTAGCAAAGGACCCGACATATCTTGGGGGATAACTAGATCAGATGTTGGTAAACTTAAAAGAGACAGTAAAAAAAATTGAGTTGAAGTATGAAGTTAGCATCGCAGTTGAGAATGGCGGAAAATCGGAGCAGATTGCTAAAGAGTTTGGCGTTCCACAAAACACACTTTCCACATGGATAACGAATTCTGATAAAATCAAAGAAGCGTTTGAGAGCTCATCCTTCTCCCTAACTATAAAACGTATGGTCACAGCTAAGTTTGAAGTAGACGAGGTAGTACTGAAATGGTTTAAGACAGTTAGGGGTAACAATATTAATGTATCGGGGCATATGAGCGTTAGTGTCTTTAATTTGTTATTATGAGGCTCCTGTGTAATCATACTTTTATATTTGTCTGCTTTTTAGTTATTCCCATTTTAACTCGGTGCCATAGGAGCTCACATACTAAGACCTGTGAATATAAATCTTATTTTATTTTATTTGATTATACTCATTTATTGGATTTATGTATAAGATTCAGATGAAGGTATTCGTTTGTATGTAGAATATAAGATGTTAAATTGTCTACTGAATATGTTGTGATATAAGAGATCTGAGACTGGTCTGTATTATAAGGATTGCTCTTAGGCTAATGCTTAGTCTTTGAAAATATATCATTCTGTTGGAAACAGAGAAGTCCATTTAAAATGCAGGAGCCCAAGGTGGGAGATTCAGAGGCTGAGAACAATCTAGACTTGCCTCATTTAAGGCATTATAGAGAGGGATGGGTGAAAGGGAAAATAATTTGGTTCAGAGTTAGTGAGTGAGTGACTGAGTATCTGCGTTTTCCATTTTACCAGCAAACAGCACGGTAGGGGAACGCATCAATCCTAGAACGAGCAGTTTTGGTCAGTGACTAAAAAACCCTTTTAGCTAAATGGAACATTTCTGTTGAAGAATTATGCACCATTAGATAAAATAATTTGTGTCCTCAATCAGGAATATATTCAATAAGATAATAATTGGTCTCCAATTCAATTTTCAAATACATAAGCCAAAAAAACCCATGGTTATCTGTGTAAGAATAGCATATAGAGCAATCCTTGGAATTCAAGGTATCAACTGATTTGTTGTGTACAGGGCAGTGCGTCCTCAAAAATGTATGGAGATTTTGAAAACATGTAATTTTACATAGTGTGACATTACTTTTTTATTATGATATTTATCTATCTTTCATTGTAACATATGCTTTTGAGCCATGCTTCAAATAGATTCTGTAACTTTGCTTCTTGCAATAAACTCTGGTGCCATTACAATTTTTCTGTCTTAATATAAATGGACTTGAGAACAGGTCCAAAATGAGTGAGTGAATGAATATGGCTTAACACCGGTTTTAGCCATATTCTAGCAATATCACGACGGGGGAACACCAGAAATGGGCTTCACGCATTGTACCCATGTGGGGAATCGAACCCGGGTCTTCGGCATGATGAGCCAACGCTTTAACCACTAGGCTACCTTACCGCTCCAGGTCCACAATGAAGATTTGCTGCATATGCATGCTGAACCTCAAACATTATCTCATGTGTTAAACAACAAAATCATCAGACCACCCAGTTGATCAAGCTTAGCTTCACAGGCTTAGGGCTGGCTAAAAAGATCAATAATCGGAAATATTGTCGATAGGTATAATCATTAATGATTATCAATATAAAACTTGTGTAATCGATGATATCCTAAATAAACAATTGTGATGAATTTTTAAAACATTTACTCAGAAAATATAGAAAGTCAGGTCTTTATTCATGAACTACTATTAACGTATGTTCAGGACGGCAGTTAGCTGGTAATCCAAGCCTTAATGTCACCACTCACCACTGATGTGAAACGTATTTGTTTCTTTCAGACTTATTGGGGGCATTTCTGCTCAAAGTTATTTCTCTAATTTTTATTGATAATCAATCGGTAATTAGTTAACGATTATCGATGTCTATGATCTATATTGATAGCAGCCCTACTGATAGTTATTGGAAAACACATATATACAGCTTTGGTTTGGCATGAAATGCATGTGGACCCGTTTTTTTGTAAATATCTCTTCATCCAATGACCCAATCGATCTCAAACTGTGCAAGTGGATGTTTTGTCAGACAACCTAATCACATTGTAAATCGCCGATTTTATGCATTTGTATTAAAGAATCTGTCTATGTAACTGTCAACAAAATAAACAGCAGAACGCAGAAGGCTTGCAGAGGGAGGGAGCCAATGACCTGTAACAGCGGCTCCCTGATCCATCTGATCAGTGGCTTGGACTCGTTGCTGCAGGCGGTTTATTGTTCGAACATGAACAGAAAAATGATTTGCAACATGTCTTGCAGTCTGGCCAGCATTCAGTCTTCCTAAAGCCTGGTCCCTCTGTTCCCTTGATAATCGTGGCATGTCGCTACTGTCGAACAGTGAATGATTCGGTGCAAGTTCGATGGCTCTTCTTATAGGGATGACACCTCGGGATGCACGTGCATTGTCATTTTCTTGAGATACGCACAAAAACCTCGTCCCATCATTACTTTAGTAACTGCGTTTTGTATCAAATACAACATCTGAAACCAAATTTTCTTGAACATTGGCTACGAACCAGGTCTATCTAAAATATAAAGAGTAAAAAATTAATTAACATTCAGAAGAAACATATCTGGCAAAAATTTCGGTAGGGTGACGTTTCTTTTGCGGCTCAGTATATATATTCAAGTCTATCTTAGACACTCACAGAGAAAAGACTTAAATGAGAAATAGAGAATGCTAAACGATGTCCCGTGTAATACTATATTTAAGAAACCAGTGAATGTAAACAGGGAAACCCGTTCGGGGACTTCCCCTGCCTCGTCAGTGAGGCTCCACTGGCTGATCATAAAATGTATGGGATTAACACAAGCCGAAAGTGGCTCAGAAGGAACAATTTACCTCAACTTTATCTCCTAAATTGTATTTTTGCTATATTCTATAAAGATATCTTTGAATTGTGTGGAATTGAAAGGCCAACTTACCCGTAAAACACACACTGGAATTTGACGTCTTTACGAGCGCAAATTAGAATGGCGTTGCTCATACTGCTATGATATATTATATCATATATTAAAACCAATCCTTATTTAAGACTGAAAGTCATGGGGAAAGGAAACTTAATTCGTTCACTGGTACTAGCCATGAAGGCACAAAAGGTGTATCTGACTGGGTTATATAGCTGACTTTGTGTGCTGGCGATTAGGTGCCGGAGTCAGGGCTGTGGGCTCAAATTGCGGTTTGGACGCATTTAACATGATTGTACTTAAATGAGAGCGTCCAATCCGAAATTATTAGAACATATGGCGTAATCTGTTCAAAATGGACATTCACATTCGTCATCTGTCTTTCGCCATTTCCATGAACACTAATGAATATATTCCATTTTGATTATCTCTACTTTGATAAATATAACACGAATTCAAGTAAAGAGACGCCTCTTTGAAAATCAGTTTGTGTGGTTGGTTTGTTGTTTAACGCCGCACTCTGGGTCCCCCGATCCCGTTAGTCGCTTCTTACCACAGGGGCGTGTCACGCTTAGAAACAGCGTTAGAAAGACATATAGGTATATAGACCCTTCCCTAGTTCTATATATATAGAATGACATATAGGTATATAGACCCTTCCCTAGTTCTATATAGCGTGTCACGCTTAGAAACAGTGTTAGAAAGGCATATAGGTATATAGACCTTACCCTAGTTCTATATAGCGTGTCACGCTTAGAAACAGTGTTAGAAAGACATATAGGTATATATGACCCAACCCTAGTACTATATAGTACTATATAGAAGGAAAGGGATGTAACGACGGAACCACAGGGGCGTGTCACGCTTAGAAACAACATTAGAAAGACATATAGGTATATAGACCCTACCCGAGTACTAAAAGGAAAGGGATGTAACGACGGAACCACCCCCTCCTCAATCTAAGTTAGATTTCACCACGTAAACTATTTTTAAGGCCCCGTCGAGGCCTACGGATCATAAGCGAGATGATTTCCCTACAAAATGAGCTATAAATGGTCACAATCGGATCAATATTTCAAAAGTTATACTCCACGACTCACCGAAAACAGCTACCTCCGCAATTCCAAGCCAAAATCATGCATCACCCATGACAGCGAAAACTCACTTTTTAAATTCGTTTATTAATTCCAGCCACGTTGACAGCACCTATGTAGGGCTAGATTCGATCGGCAGCGCCATTCCACGGGTCTAAAACTTATTGCAACATCTACAAATCATTTCCTCGACAGTAAGCAGACATTTTCTTCAAAACCATGGGGTGTTTCCGTCGTTACATCCCTTTCCTTTTCTATAGAACTAGGGAAGGGTCTATATACCTATATGTCTTTCTAACGCTGTTTCCTAAGCGTGACACGCCCCTGTGCTTCTTACGACAAGCATGGGGATACTGAAGTCTAATTCTTACCCAGATATTCACGGGTTAAGAATCAGGAATATTCGATCCTAGTGATCGTGAATAACGAGTTGAATGTAGGAATGGATACGGCTCGAATCACGGAATATATGCGTGAATCGTAGCAGCCCGAGCGTGGAGGTATTTCTTGGAATTCAACATGACATCACCCATTGTAGGGGCGACAGGGTAATGAAATAGTTAAAGGTCATATGCAACCAAAAAATCAAACATAATTAAAACACAATTATCACTTCTTCATGACATATAATATGTATTGCTGATTATGAAAAAAACAAATAAACAAAATTATAATCACAAATCAAAAGTGCAATATTTTGTGCTTGAAACGAAGCAGCCGGGATACCGAACCCAGTCAGAGCGGGTGGGTGTGCACTCAAGTGTAACGGCTGGTTCATTTGTAGATGCCGCCCTCACAGCTCATTGTGTGTGTATATACACTGTAAAAAATAGTGTTAGGCATTAACGCGTTAATATGTTAAATATTTAACACCTCCGTTTATACGGAAACCTCAGGTGTCGATTTGCCAACGCCTTGATGTTAATCATATAACACAGGCGTTAATGTGTGGTAGCCTATGTATGCCTTCAAACAATGTCAATGCACAGCGATGAGTACGATAGTTCTAGTTGTTAATGAAAATGTGTATCATATTAGATATCGTAATGTGTTCGAAATATTTAAAAATAACTAATCTTACCTCAGACATTTTGGTTAAATGTGCTGTACAGCTGGAAAGTTGGTCTAAAGTTATTGCCCCTCTTATGGTGTCCTATAATTGCCATCGCGTGGCGCGTAAAAAAAGAACTACGTCGTGGGCGACGTCGCCCACGACGTCGCATAAAAAAGACGACGTCGACCAGGACGTCGTGTAAGACGTCGTGCAGAAATACACAAGAATGATCTACGACAAAAATACAAAATCGACGTCGTCCACGACGTCGAAGGCGACGTCGCCCACGACGTCGCGTTTAGAAATTGTTATATTGGAAAATCGGGGAATAACCTTTTGTGGTGCAGTTGTACTGCTATTGATCTCTCATCACTGATTTCATGTTCAACATTACTATTTATTTAACACCTTAAGTAAAAAAGTCTGTCAAATTTAGTTGATGCTTGATGTTGTGAAAACGGTGTTGTTTTAAAAGGATCAAAACACTGGTTTTCTACAAAATGTAAAATGTCTCCTCTCAGGAAACGAAATATGACTTTTGTACCAGCGGGTTGACATGTGAACCAGCGGGTTTAGTGAGTGAGTTTAGTTCACTCAGTTCATTAGTAGTGAGTTATTCAATTTCTTACATAAACGTGCAAGCTATAAGAATGTTGGAATTTACAGTTTCATCATCATTTCCACAAATTCAGTTATGGAAAATGCACAATAGGTTTCTTTATACTTCTCGTGGTGGAACATACATATATGTAAATGGTTAAATGTTTATTGTGAACAAGAAGAAAAGGGGAAAATGGGTCTCGTGGAGATGCATTCAGAACGACTGCATATCAGTCTTAACAGTGAACGACATAATTTCCCAAGTACCTGGAGACCACAACCACGGACCTGTACACAGCGAAGTCAAAGTGAATCTTTTCGACTGTACCAAAAATACTGACGGCCCCCGCACAAACAACAACCTCCGGGGTTGCAATTGGCATGGCCGTCTCACGAAGGTTGTGGTAAAACAACATCCCACCCTATTCGAGATGGCCAAGTTCCTGGAAGATGAACAAGGACTGAACGAGGCAAAGATGCTTCAGTACAATGCCGGCCAAAGACTGTCCCCAAATAGAAGTACAGAGATTGGGAGGAACGACTAGATACCTTGAAGTTCAGGCTTGCAAATAACCACCCGACATTGATGGAGTACCTGGACAATGACAGATAGACAGACAGACAGTCACACAGTCTTTATTCAGTAGTTAAGGCCCAGTGGCCCAGAGTACAATTGAAGTTACTCAATTACAACTATTGGTCACGTGACATTAAATTATGATTTTACATGTGATTTACGGATGGACATCAAATGTTTCATGAAAATGGCAACAGATTTAATAATATCAGCATTATTAGAATTAAGTACATTGAATATCGTTTGTGGGGCATCATTAGTGCATTTTAAATACTTCTTTCGGCAGGCAGAGAAAGTCGTACAGACTAATAATAAGTGTCGTTCGTCTTCAGTTTTACCAGAAGAACAATAAGAAAATTCTTAAAAGGGACTTATCATTAAGAACACTGACATATTTTGCAGGTCCGAACATCGATTTACATTGCGAATAATGACTAAGAAAACTGGATGAATTGACTGATGCGTACCAACTGTGAATATATATCTTTTATTCGTTGTTTAAATGTTGACAAAACATTTTTATATCACCAACATTTTGCTTAAATCAAACATGAGAAAACTCGCTTGAAAATAACATATTTCTCACATCTGAAGCCCATGAATACTTTCCACATTTATCCAGTGATAACAATATTTGACAGCTTTGATAGGGGTAGCGATAATCAGGCATTCTTATAAGTTTAATCCAGTATCTAATAACTCTCATTTGACTCTCAATATGCATGTTATAGCATCCTGTTTCGCCAAGTATGGCTTTATTGGAAGCAAATATACCTTCTGTAAGAAATCTTTTAAAATAAGATGCATGGACATTTTCAATGCCTTCGAAATAATTTGCTCCCCATGTTATATGGGAAATTATGACATGATTATATATGTTAAAAGAAATATAGTAAATCACAACCTTTTGTCATATGTTATAAAGGATCAAAGAAAGTATACATTTACACAAACACACATTCTTATGTGTTTTCATTGTATTCTAAACCGTAAACAACACCAGCCCAAATCCGATAGCCAGCACGTATGCATATGCTTAAATTTGCTAGTACACATGAAAGGCAAAATGGTATTATATCTACTAGTACCTAAATACTTCTTTATAGAGTCTCAAAGCGTAGTATTTTAAGCAAACACGTTGCTCGAAGTGAAGCCTTCATTTCTATATATTCTCAACAAACACACTGTGTCACAAGCGTTCGGTCCGGCTTGGCGAGTCGTCAAAAGCACCTAACACCTCAAAGGTGTATCTTTAATTGTGCTTAAATCTATAGATTAGTATTATATCTACCTACATATCACATTGAAATGTTACAAAATGCCACATGTAAAGGTAACTGCTCCGTTAAAGTGAAGCCCTTGTCTGCCCACCCTCAAAATAGCCTCAATCAAAAGTGTTCAGTCTGTTTGGCTCGACTTGGCCCGGGCTGTCAAAAGCAACTTAAACCTCACACATGTATCTTGAAATGTGTTTAAATCCATAGATCAGTATTATATCTACCTAAATGCCACATTGTGATGTTACAAAGAAAACTGGGTCTATAAAGTGGTATTTAGTACTATTTAGATAGATATAACTATATTCATTGGATGTAAACAGAATCTAGGATTCATCTGTGAGACTTCAAGATACATGTGCGAGGTTTAAGTTGCTTTTGACAGCTCCGGCCAAGTGGGGCCAACAGAAACTTAACAGTTTTGATTGAGGCTATGTTGAGAATAGAGAGTGAGTGAGTTTAGTTTTACGCCGCACTCAGCAATATTGCAGCTATATGGCGGCGGTCTGTAAATAATCGAGTATGAACCAGACAATCCAGTGATCAGCACCATGAACATCGATCTGCGCATTTCGGAACCGATGACATATGTCAACCAAGTCAGCGAGTCCGACCACCCGCTCCCGTTACGACAAGCATGGGTTACTGAAGGCACTTTCTAATCCGGACCTTCACGGGTGAAAATGGAGAGAGAAAGGGGCTGGAAAAGTGATATATAGGTAGATGTAATACTAATCTGTGAATTAAAACGCAATTCAAGATACATGTGTGAGGTTTAAGCTGCTTTTGACGGCCCGAGGTATGCCGGACCGAACAATAGTGGCGGTGATTATGTTTAGAGTGTGGGGAAGAGATCGTTTCATTTGCAGATGGGTATGCCTTACATACAATGAACAGTGGCCTTCTAGGGTGGTATTTGATTGGATATAGGTGTAAAAACATTTCGGGTAGACAGAAATGTTTATCGGGAGTGACTGAAGCATTTTTGCGTTTTAAATCCTGTTTCGTTTAACGATTCTTCTTTTAGACGTAACCTTGGTCAGCCACGTTCAGAGGCCGATAACCACTCGATATAGTCCGACGTCGCCTGCGACGTCGACCACGACGTCGTCGCCCGTTATTTTTGTAGCCAAAATATATTTTACAAAGCGCGACGTCGTCTTTTTTTATGCGACGTCGTGGGCGACGTCGCCCACGACGTAGTTCTTTTTTTACGCGCCACGCGATGGCAATTATAGGACACCATAACCTCTAACTAATCTAATTGAAATAACATTGGGCTAAATGGAATAAGATGTCGTACTCCTTGTTTTACACATACACGTAATATTACTTGCATACAAGTACGACTTACGTAATATTATTAACATCAGTGTTCATTTATTTACACCAGTGTTAATATATCTCTCTTCTTTATTAACATTATAGTGTTAATCTGTCAACGCAAGCGTGCCTCGATACATTTTGGGGCCAATGAATGGTGATCGAGGCAATCGCTGCATCTCTACCGGCCTCATATTACATGATAACTAGACATTCTTTAGATATCTTCCTATGGATGTCAGCATGTTCAAAACGCAGTGATTTCAATGCGAATATCGTCTGTCAACTCGCGCGATCGTAGCCTAAAGACGTAAACGCTTTGATGAGGCAATAAGTTATTTTTTAGAATGTGGCGTGCCAGTTCGCTAAAAAAAGTAGGGAAAAGTGGTAACCCACACACGGGATATATTAGCATCATTTTCATTATTTCCATGAAAAATAGGTATCACTTATTGAGACAGGACATTGAGTTTGTATGTAACATGACATTGTGACAAATGAACCAAGGGAGGTAACTCTACGGCAACAGTGCCGTCATCTTCCAAAAGTGCCGTCATACGTCATCTACGGGGTTTACACATTCCACTGCACGATCCTCGCCATGTTTAGAAGACTGAGCAAGCTGACGTTGTCATTATTCTCCCCAGGTAAGCGCTATGCGAAAATATAGTACATACATTGATGATATTGCAAAGATAATGTTCACATATTAATGTTTACATGTTGTATTGATGCTGGAAGTCTAAGATCATGTGTAAACAGTGAGTCATAACCTAGACTGGGCAACCACATAGTCAAGTGGGTGGTGTACGTTTATCTAAAACATCTGAATCAGTGCAACTCCCAGTCAGGTAAACAAAACAATGTTATGAACTTATCCTACTTGGAACTTCAGGTGAGTATTTCAACTCTAATATTTTATGTATCATTGTAGATTTTGGAAAAATGTAATTCAATATTCTTGACAGGAACCGAGAAATTGACCTTTCTGACTTTCTGGAATTATGATCTACAAACAATAAGATGAGAGAAATAAATACATTCGAACATCATTACGTTTCCATTATGGTTCTGACCTAACCTAAATGTGGTCTTCAGGTTCCCACTTACTTCCACATTAACTGACATGATACTTTCATTTTGTTTCAGCAGATCTCTCAAGCCGCAGTCTACGGTCTGCGCTGCCAACACCAGACAGGATCCCCCTTCCTGATCTTGCACCCACTACGATTACAGCCCTTCAAGCAGGTGAAAGGAGCAGCCAGATTTTTATGCCCCCGTCATAAATATGGCAGGGGCATATAGGGTTACCCTCGGTGTCCGTCCGTCCGTCCGTCCGTACGAAACAGGGAATGTATTCTATCCACATCTCCACCATAACCGCTCTGTGGAATTCAATGAACTTATACATGGGCTTTCTTGGGACTCTAATGGTGTGCATCTCATATTTTGTTTTTTTATTTTATTGGTTTTTTTTTAAGTTTAGAGACATTTGAACTTAGGTACATTTTGCTGAATTCTCTATGATGATAGTGTAATACGGGATGAAGTCTATCCACTTCTCCACAAAACTGCTCAACAGAATTGAATGAACTTCTACATGTCTTTGTAGGGACTCTAAAGGTGTGCATTTCATATTTTTTTATGCAATTTCTTACTTTTGTCACTTTTACAGATGTTTGAACTTAGTTGAATTTTGTTCTATTCAGCCAGTGTTCGTTCCATCCAACAGGGGGTGTACGTTATCCACTTCTCCTCAAAAACTACTTTATGGAATTCTTTTAGATTACACATGTGCTTTATAGGGACACTAAAGGCGTGCATCTCATATTTTGATTTTGTATTTTATTTATTTTTCCAATTTTAATGCCGTTTGAACTTAGATCAATTTTGTTGAATTTCTCTCTGAATAATAGTGTTGTAGGGGGTGAAGTCTATCCACTTCTCCACAAAAGCTGCTCAACAGAATTGATTGAGCTTCTACGTGTGTATCACTGGAACTCTTAAGGTGTGCATCTCATACCTTGTTCATCCAATTTCTTAATTTTGTCACTTCTACAGATGTTTGAACTTAGTTGAATTTGGTTCTATTCATCCAGTTTGTCCCATACAACAGGGGGTGTACGTTATCCACTTCTCCTCAAAAACTACTTTATGGAATTCATTTAGATTACACATGTGCTTTATAGGGACTCTAAAGGTGTGCATCTCATATTTTGATTTTGTATTTTATTTATTTTTCCAATTTGAATGCAGTTTAAACTTGCATAAATGTTGTTGAATTTCTCTCTGAATATAGTGTTATAGGGGATGAAGTCTATCAACTTCTCCACAAAAACTGCTCAACAGAATTGATTAAGCTTATACATGTGTTTCATTGAGACTCGAAAGGTGTGCATGTCATAGTTGCATAGATGTTTATTGAACTTGTTCGTGAATTTTGTTCAATTATTGATCTTTAGATGTCTTATGAATGTCAGCGGGGGCATCCTGTCCCTGGACACAATTTTTTCTTGTTAACTCTGTATTGAAGCAGTGTGAAACATTTTACACAACTGTTTATCCATCAATGTCATCTTCACCATACTATCAATCAATCGGCAGGAGGATGGTGGAAAAATATCCTTCATTGGCCTATGCACATGGCAAGACACCTTGGGTAAGTTTGAGTTGGCTTCAGTTTATATCTCTTATTCAGTGATGTAGTGTCAAAGTGTATACATACTGATAGTTCACATATCCAAAGTACTCGACTTTTACTAATTTCAACATTTATGGCTCTTGTATTACAGAACTTGATATTCTGTGATTCTTTTTGTTTTATCACAGAGTAATTATTTTCAGATAATGTTTTTGGTTGAACTGCATAGGATTTAGAATTAGGTACTCTTCTGTTAGATTTCAGTAAGAGCTTGTGATTTAAATACACTCTTGTCTGAATGTTCTTTTCCTAAATAAATGCATGAGACTCAATACCCCCCAATTTGTGAATTCGTATAAAGGTAAAGTCAATATTATCTGTTTGCTATAACCAAGAAACACACTCCTTCCTTCTAATCGGAGGTTAAAAACAAACTCTCCTATTGTGTCTTTTCAGAGCTTGTGTCTTTTTCAGCGATGCCGCACCAATAGATTTCAAAACAATGCAAAATCAACAAGACCTGCTCCTAAGGATTCTGAAGATGCACAACCTCAGAAGTTGTTCAAGATGGCTAATAAATTATCAGGTGTGACATCAGAGAAAGATTTTGCATCCCATCTTGATGAAATAAAGAAGGAATGGGAAGGAAAGCAATCAATTACTCATCTGCAAACTCTACTAAAACAGACAAGACAATTCCGCAAAGAGTGGCAAACCACCTTGAAGACTGGAAAGATTGAGCCCATTTTAGAAAAGTTCCCTTGTTTTGAGGAAGGATGCTTTGTAAGTATAAATCATTTGAGCTTATTAAACAGCAAATTTTTGTTTCAAATTTAGTTTCCCTAAAGTACTACCATGGAAATCTTCATGTGTCCTTAAACCCTATTTATTATATACGGACATTACAGGTGTACAAAAGTACTTGTACAGTGTTATCACATTAGTTGATTTATGGTCATTGTTGTTCTAGTGTTAATCTTATATTGAACAAGGAGGCAAGCCCTGTTGCATGTCTTTGTGCCTCTCAATCATTAAATACATTTTAACATACTGTTTCAGTTGGTGTATGAATTCTTTTGCCAACGCAGTGATGATCCAGAGAAAGCGAGGGAAGAAATTGTTGCAAGAAATATGGAATGGATAATGCACACTGTCGTATCTAAAAAAACTGCACCTGAGGCATGTATTAATGGCTCCAGAAAACTTAATGGCTCCAGAAAACTCAAGATGTATATTTTTCAATTTCTTGTTACAAGTTGCTTGTCATATGGCTTATATTATTTAATATCATAATTTAATATGTTTCTAATTAGATATGGTGAACTATCAAAATACTAACTAATTTCACTAACCCTCTGTGATACCTTAATATGTTAATTAATATTGATTTGATATGGTTATTGTTTCAAACTGGGTTAACATGTAATTGAAAATTTTATTTCAATATTTATTGTTTCAAATTTTCAGGGTACTGATGCTGAAAAAGCATCCAACTGTTCCGATTTGCAGAAGCTTGTTTCCAAGCAAAAGGGCAAGGGTTTGAAGTCAAAGACCTGCATTACCATAGTCAATGTAAGATTTTTGAAAATGATGTTCTACTGTAAGTATTGTTACACTTGAAAACTGGTTTACTTCATTCCTGAAGTAAGTGCTTATGATTAGCTTTTGACAAATGGAAATGCATTAGACTGCAAGGACAGGTGATATACCTTTATGATAAAGATACATTTAAGATATTTTATATTTGCAAATAGCAGTATAGTTAAGAATAGATGTTTCATTTACTTAATGCTGTTGTGAGATCAACTTGTAAACTGACAATATTCAGCCCTAACAAAAATGTTATTTTATGTTAACAGGATGTGAAGAGTGTGGAAACAGTTCCTCAAAAACATCTGCACAGCCAAGTGGAAGAGGCTCCTCATCTTGTGGTCTTCCTTGACAGCTCAAAACACATCCTATGCCAGTAAATTGTGGAAGAGGCTCCTCATCTTGTGGTCTTCCTTGACAGCTCAAAACACATCCTATGCCAGTACATTGTGGAAGAGGCTCCTCATCTTGTGGTCTTCCTTGACAGCTCAAAACACATCCTATGCCAGTACATTGTGGAAGAGGCTCCTCGTCTTGTGGTCTTCCTTGACAGCTCAAAACACATCCTATGCCAGTACATTGTGGAAGAGGCTCCTCATCTTGTGGTCTTCCTTGACAGCTCAAAACACATCCTATGCCAGTACATTGTGGAAGAGGCCCCTCATCTTGTGGTCTTCCTTGACAGCTCAAAACACATCCTATGCCAGTACATTGTGGAAGAGGCTCCTCATCTTGTGGTCTTCCTTGACAGCTCAAAACACATCCTATGCCAGTACATTGTGGAAGAGGCTCCTCATCTTGTGGTCTTCCTTGACAGCTCAAAACACATCCTATGCCAGTACATTGTGGAAGAGGCTCCTCATCTTGTGGTCTTCCTTGACAGCTCAAAACACATCCTATGCCAGTACATTGTGGAAGAGGCCCCTCATCTTGTGGTCTTCCATGACAGCTCAAAACACATCCTATGCCAGTACATTGTGGAAGAGGCTCCTCATCTTGTGGTCTTCCTTGACAGCCCAAAACACATCCTATGCCAATTCATTGTAGGAGACAATGTAAAGATTTTTCTTCAAACACAGTCATTGTTTGATGCAGTGATCAGTCTCCTTGGGAGTTACTATGTTTTTGATTTGGAGTACCCCCCTACATATTGCCAGGTTCTTGGTCTGGTACACAGCACTGGGTTGTATCTGACATATTTACTGGATCAAGGACATCCAATTGTAAAAGTTCAGTGATGAACTGACAAGATCCAAAGATAAACACTGAGATATTAGAATGTTTCCCAATCAAGCTTTGAACTTTCAAAAAATCTTTTTGGTAGTAATGCGGCAATGTATACCATTCTTTATCCAGTGGCATGATATTTCTCTTATAATATGTTAAAACAAAAGGTAAAAAAGTCAGTTATACCAGGGAACATCCCAAGGAGACCTTTGTGAAAGGAAACAGACTGATTCTTCCTTTAGTTTTCATTACAATGATGTTGTCTATTACAAATTTATGCAAACTGCTGATATTCTAAAGAGAAAGATTATTATACAAATTATGAAAGCCAAAATTTTTCAAAGACCATTCATAGTACCTATTGTTCATTCTGTTAAGCCAGACAGAAGTGTTCTTCCTGTTCAAAAGAATTGAATTTCATGTATTGTGCCAAATTGAACTAAATTTCGACCACATCGTCTGTTCTCAATAAACATTATCTTGAACATTAGCCATTGTGACAAGATGATCAAATATATATATAATGATCTTATATATACCATATAGGAGTTGTTTTTAAGTTTAATCCATTATATTTCCCTGCAATCAAAAGTAAACTTTCGTTCACTCAAGACAAGATTACAATTGTCTGATTTGAACTCTCAAACTTCAGGAATTTCTGAATTTCGCTCACCTAAGATTAGGAGATGTCCTCCATAATCCCTCATTGTCTAAGGAATAGCACGCTTCATTGCTTTGCCTACCTTAGACAATACCTGATAATTCAGGGAAGTACTTTGCCTATGACAGAGTACAGATTATCCTATTGTTGTGCCAACAAATATATTTGGTACTCATTTTTTATTTCTTCACCAAGGTGATTTTGATAACCATCATTAGTGGACCATTAGTTTAGTGATATTATTGTTTGAATGTAGAGGTATGTTGCTTCTATTGTTTACTTTTATACCTGTTTAATGCATAGGATAGTCAAAACCTCTAAAATTTATTTTTTGACATTTTATTTTCTTTTAATAAGTGGGGAAAATACTGTTATTTTGATACTATTCTAAAAATGCAGTTTTGAAGAATTACTGATGATCTGCCTGGGAACATGTGTCCTGATATGACCATGAAGATTGAACTTGTTTATGCTCTAATGGAGAAAGAGAATAGTTTAATTTCAAGCTTTATCAGAGTTTAAAACTCAACTTTATTTGGCACTGTCTACCTTGTAATGTATAACGATGGCTTTAAACAAAGCAGTAGTTTCACTAATCCTTGGGCTACCTGTATTATTTGACAATTTGGACTGCGCTATAGGACTAGTGCCAATTTTGATCCTATATTCTCAAAAAATGAAAGCACCATAGTATATTTCTGAAGGTGATGCCTACACTGTGCAGCTACTTTAGGTTACAAACAGCAATATTGTATATATGTGTTGACAGTGTTGACCTTATATTGTTCATTGTCTGATAGTTGCAATATGTATTGCAATGTATCAGTATCTTTGCATTAATTAATGTATAGCCTCGTTAATCCGGACGGTTGCGTTTCTCAGCAAATTCGTCCGGATTGTGAATAGTCCGGACTACTGAATCAAGACCCAAGTTGCTTCCCTTACTATTACAGAAACGACACGAATCTGGATAAAACAAATAAGCATTTAATGTAAAGCTTATTGAATTCATCACATCAATAATTTTACCGAGTGACATCTGCATGTTGATCCGACGTATCTGATCATGTCCTTCCTCAGCACAAGTGAGGTAATGTCTAACAAGCGATCTATTGTAGTATGCCTTGAATGTCCGAATTATTCCTGCATCCATCGGTTGAATATGATACGCGGTATTTGGTCACATTTCGCAAAGTTAGCGAAGCACACTTGTGACTTGTTGCGTCACAGCGTTGTCGTAAAGCAAAATCACTTTAAGTCCACGTGACCGCATCTGTCTGTCAAAGTACATTAACCAATCACAAAACAGCTCACTCATCATCCACGCCTTTGTATTGTGGTGTCAATCAAAGTGTAAATGTACAGCATCTTGAGTCGGGAGCTTTTAATGTCTTATTAAAACAACAACCCAGTTGGCCAGTTAATTAAGTAAACATCGCCGGGAGGTGTTGTTACGGATCGTGAACACGACTTACAGCGTCCGGACTGTGAAGCAATTTACTGTTTATTTTACTGATTGGTGACAGCTACTTACCGTCAGGTTCCGGGAAACCGAATTTCCGCATTATCGAGGCAAATTATCTAGGCATAGATTGGTAACAAGCTAAAATCGTCCGGGAGACGAGACATCCGGATTATCGGAGTCCCGGACTAACGGGGCTTGACCAATACATGCTCATTTTTGTGTCAAACATTTTGCAATCAACAGACATCATAACATGTCATGTGTTCAAGTATCACACCTGCCTGTCTGTGTAATTACATAATGTGACAGAGACCGAACTCGGGCCATAAATCAATGCGTTTTGTTTATTGTGTATAGCCTGATTGGTGTTAAGTTCAAATTGCATGTGGTCAGTGATCGCAGTTGTGTATCGAATATTGTCATTAGCAGACAGGCAGGCAGACACACAGGTGTCAATAAAACAAGACATTGAGTTTAGTCTGTGACAACGACATATCTATATCACAGTTAGAAATTCTGTCAACGCTAAATAATGACATTGCTTTTAAGTATCGAACTGAGAAAGTGACTCGGTAAGAAGAACGTGTGGTGAAATAGACAAATGAAATTATATAAACAGTTTATTTACTGTCATAACATATAAAAAGCTAGCGCCTGTGAGATATCAACAAAACATTATGAAAATAGCTCACACCAAAGCCTTCACCGAGTATTCACCAGACAGCCCGCTTCCAAGTTGCGCGCAATGTGTTAAGCCCATTTCTGGTGTCCCCCGCCGTGATATTGCTGGAATATTGCTAAAAGCGGCGTAAAACAAAACTCAGTCCAAGTTGCGCGAACCTATTTCACTGCGCACATGCTATGAGCGCAGCCCAGCTGTTGAAACCCGTTTTCACCCGAAATTGTCGGGGGAAAGTTAGTGAATCGTTTGAACTCCGATTTCGCGCGGTTTTTTTCATCGGGTTATTTTTCAACTTTATAAGTTGAATTTGCATTTTTGATGATTTGTTTCGTTACGTCCATACCGAAAGGTATCAGAATCTGCAAAGTTGTGTTTTACGTTGCATGTGACCTTTAAGAAAACGCAGAAAAACATATTTCTCCGACATCATAAAATTGACAGGACTGTTTTTGTATTATTTTGAAGTTGTATTCATTGTGTTTATTTGGTTGGAATTATCTCTAGATTCTCTACGATATTACTTTGACACCGGTAGAACCGACTCCTGCCATTTTGAGATACACACATTGACACGAAAGACACTGTTCTTTTGGGGGGACCGATGATTTTGTGGCCGTTACACAGTGGATGTGTGAGATTTTACTTCAGTCAGTGCTTCCTGGAGCTAATCCCACTTTACCATGGGCAATTTGGAAACTGGTCATTCAGTGCATGTTTGCTTAAAATGAACAGGCACATTGAATGCGAGGTGGAAAAATAAAGGCACACGTAAATTATCTGCCTGGTGCCCAGTGACACATTTCGGAATATATTCCATTCCTGTGTCTGTTTGAGGTGACAGATAAAGGCTGATTTAAGAGTTATGCATTAGAGAGAATTTTAACTGCTTATTAAATCAGTTAGATATTGCTCACATAATATTGCAGGACTGACTGACTGAGTTTGGTTTTACGCCGCTTTTAGTAATATTCCAGCAACATCACGGCGGGGGACACCAGAAATGGGCTTCACACATTGTACCCATGTGGGGATTCGAACCCGGGTCTTCGGCGTGACGAGCCAACGCTTTAACCACTAGGCTACCCCACGGCCCTAATATTGCAGTGAATCGTTTGAACTCCGATTTCATCGGGTTATTTTTCAACTTTATAAGTTGAATTTGCATTTTTGATGATTTGTTTCGGTACGTCCATACCGAAAGGTATCAGAATCTGCAAAGTTGTGTTTTACGTTGCATGTGACCTTTAAGAAAACGCAGAAAAACATATTTCTCCGACATCATAAGATTGACAGGACTGTTTTTGTATTATTTTGAAGTTGTATTCATTGTGTTTATTTGGTTGGAATTATCTCTAGATTCTCTACGATATTACTTTGATACCGGTAGAACCGACTCCTGCCATTTTGAGATACAAACATTGACACGAAAAACACTGTTCTTTTGGGGGGACCGATGATTTTGTGGCCGTTACACAGTGGATGTGTGAGATTTTACTTCAGTCAGTGCTTCCTGGAGCTAATCCCACTTTAGCATGTGCAATATGGAAACTGCAGGACGGTAGTCGAGTTTGGATCAGACAAAGCGAAGCAATAAACAACCCATCCACAACTTGTTCAGGTGTTTCAGGGGCGATGGAGTAACCTAGTGGTTAAAGCGTCCGGTCGTCACGCCGAAGACCCGGGTTCGATTCCCACATGGGTACAATGCGTGAAGCCCATTTCTGGTGTCCCCAGCCGTGACATTGCTGGAATATTGGTAAAAGCGGCGTAAAACCAAACTCACTCACGTGCTTCACGTATTATATTTTGTTTCAGGGAGGACGATATAGACAGTGACATGAGTCAACGGTCCATTCTCAGTTTCCTTACCCCATTGTCTGGTATGTGTTGTACGTCCATCTTCACAGCAAAATACTCAGCAAAATTAAAAACTTGACACTGATAAATTTTGACATTTTTCTATTTCTGTTTAATTGTAAGTTCAGGAGCAAACCTTGACTACCTAGCCCATGAAGATGAAAAACACCACGAAATGCGCGTGTGGAAAGCAAATTCATGAGGTCATTCAGTGCATGTTTGCTAAAACTGAACAGGCACATTGAAATTGAGGTGAAAAAATAAAGGCACACGTAAATTATCTGCCTGGTGCCCAGTGACACATTTCGGAATATATTCCATTCCTGTGTCTGTTTGAGGTGACAGATAAAGGCTGATTTAAGAGTTATGCATTAGAGAGAATTTTAACTGCTTATTAAATCAGTTAGATATTGCTCACATAATATCGCAGGAACACCAGCTACCCGCTCTCCATGAATACAAAGTAAAGTTATGTTGGTCTTGTTCGTGTTTCAGGCGAGGGGGACTCAGCCAAGACACCTGCAGAACCACAGGTAATTAATAATTTGGTTACGACAAATTTCATATTCAAATTACATCCACTTTCAGTAGAAAAGTAACGATATGATTGGGAATATTGCCGATGTGACGTAAAATCAACTCACTCACTTTACATAGAACCCCACCCCAACCTCTTGTTGACATTTATTTAAACTTACATGTAGTATTTAATTCAAGTTTACATACATAAATTTCCATTGTTATGATTGTAATTCCTGCATTCTGATTAGCTGATCTGTTCCCATTAAATGTGAATTTCTAAATCATTTTGGTCTGCATTGAATTAATTGTTTTTGTTTAAATTGTGGATCACACGTTTTTCGTTGTCGAATTCAAATTTAAGGATTTCTGTGAATATTTATTGAGTCCTTGTGGCATAAAGAAATGAATTTAGATTGAAGAAACAGCGTGCAATCGATGAATCTGGTACAGTTTGCACCTGATCTTACGATTCAGACCCCAAGGAGACTTATGTCATGGCATGGCTGCCCATTGTTAAACATCTCCCTAGAAATCCCCCCCCCCCACCAGTGAATTCAGCCAACGGGTGTGTTGCAAAGAACCAATCACTTGCTTGCGATTTTACGACGATAGCTTGCTCGTGCTTCTCACAATCACACCTGACGTCTGCCGTCGCTTAAAATTGGCGGCTGACGGAAATTTAATTTGACAGAGCAAGAAATTCGTCTCAGGGTTGCTCCACATTTTCAAAGTAGTCATAAATTCTTCGAGTTACTATTTCGTTCTATGCCAAGGCAAGGCGAGAGAGCGATTGTTGCGCTTCCGTTTTGGAAAAGTGAGCAAGCCCTTCGATTTTTTTGTTGACCGATGAATTTGCGATTTGTGTCTTGGAACCACCTAATGCTTCTGCCCAGAAATGGCTGAGGTTGGAATACGACTTCCAGTATGCCCGCCACTGCACCCATATTTATGACCATTGTAATTGGTCATGCCAGTTCTATCATGTGGTTCAGTACATGTGTTGATGGAGGTAGGGTTCAACTTTCTGTCCCGTTTGTTTCATCAAAATTTCAGCTGTTTCGCCATGATTTGATTTTCGGACTTCTACGGTGAAAGTTCAACCATACTAAAATAACAACCTATGAGCATAACTTTGTCATTTTGTTTTCAAAAGAAGCGGAGTGTGCTTAATCCGGTTTAATTTTGTTAAATTAGGTGGACGTATTGTTTTTCCTCAGTATGAATGTCGAAAATATTTGAATGTTAATGCTGACAACTACATGGCTTTCCCTTTCTTTGGATTTTAAACTGTCGAAAACATATTCAGTTGCACTATTCTGCAGACATCATTTTGAACACTTTGTTGTTTAATGCCGCATTCAGCAATATGCCAGCTATATGGCGGCGTCCAGAAACTCTACAGATCAACTGCAAGAGCATCAATCTATGCAAGTGGCCTGGGATATGATGACGTGTCAACCAAGTGAGCTAGTCTGACCACCCGATCCCTTTAGTTGCCTCTTTGGACAAAGGGATAGCCTAGTGGTTAAAGCGTTCGTTCGTCATGCAGAACACCCGGGTTCGATTCCCCACATAGGTAAAATGTGTGAAGCCCATTTCTTGTGTCCCCCGCCGTGATATTGCTGGAATACTGCTAAAAGCGGCGTAAAACTAAACTCACTCATTCCCACTAAGGATTAGCAGGGTTGCTGAAAAACGATCCTAACCCGGATCTTTATGGGTTCATTTTGAAAAGCATTCCACTCTGTAAGACAACAAACAGCCAGACTGAAGCAATGGTTATTAATTCACTTAATTCACATCTTAACGTACCCTTTACCTGATACATGACATGATGAGATGGACATAAGGTTACAACATTCATGACTATATATATATATGACCATCGTAAACATTTTTTCCAGCACAGCCGTCATGACAGTGATCTCGGTGCTTCCGAAACACAACATAACTACATGGAAACATCAAGTTTGGAACTGGATGAAATTGAATTCTCCTCAGACACAGATGGTAGCTCCAGTGGAGATGAAAACGAAGAAGGACCTGTGCCGGGCAACAAACAAAGAGTTTCATTCCCCAGACTCAGTATTTCAAAAATTAAAATCAACAGGAAAGACGAAAGCAAGACAGCAGAAGAGATTATTTCAAACATTACAAGGCAGGCAAGAAAAAGGAAAAGGAAACATGGGGGAGGAACGCCTAGAAAGAAGAGAAGGGGCACAGATGGACCAATAGATCCTCAAGTGCAGCAGGCACCTGATGTCCAGAGAGAGAGTGTCATCTCTCAAGGTGTCCCTAATACTTCTGAATCACAGTCAACAGACGGGGACAACAATGGACCTGGTACACCGCAGCACTCAGTTTTGGATCCAGCTAAAGCTGATCCGAAGGCAACATTGGAGGAGCTGTTTTTGAACGAAAGTGTGACTGTCAGATTACAAGAACATGAATCTGGCTTTCACGTTAAGCTGTTTGAGTGCACAACACCCATACAGTGTCAAATGTCACATGCCATCGAGTCTATCATAGAACCAAGGCAATTACAACATGTTAATCAAAGAATAAGTTACATGATTTTCTTTTACAGAGACAGGGATGGTCCAGAAATATTTGCTGCTGTATCAGGAATGGCTTACTTACATGTTCATCAGAGAAGCTGTCCAGAATTTCCAAGGAAAATAGCAAGACGACTTCTGGAGCCAACAACAATTCAGCTGGATACAAGGAATGTGACGGGAGACACGTCACAAGTCACGAAACGATACATTCCAGAGAGAGGAGGAACCATCAACATTTGGGATGTCATAGACGTGGTTGTCCACAAGTACACTGCTAACCTAAAAGAGCAGGCATCAATCCTCAAGTTCTGCAACACTTGGAAAAACAAACGCCCATCAATTGCAATTAAAAAACTTTCTATTGAGGTTATGACAAGATTTCCAAACATATTTGACATGCAGGAAATAATTTCTCATTTTGCAACTATTGACAGAAATGAGCCCACATACCAGTTTGGTTCCAGTCAAAGAAAAGATGAAGAAAAAGATGACGAAACATTTGCAATGTTTGACTTGATGCAGGAAGAACACAACAAGGAGACAATCAAGAGGCTTCAAGAAAACTTGTACATAAGAATCAACAGATATCTCAAGAACAAATCTGAAGAGTGCATCCAGCTTTCTTGTGATGATCTTGATCTCTGGCTTAAAGCAAGTGAGTATAGGCTTTTCCTAGACACAAAATCAAAGAGGTCTCCCATAAAAACATGGAAAGAGAGTCCACCAAAATTCAGAGATGTCTTACGGGCCTTAAGAAACAATATCCCGTTAAACGAGGTTTCTGGAAAAATGCTGCATTCTCGTGTAAAGATGTCTCTGCACAATGCTGATGAAGCACTATGCCCAAAGAAACCCATCACCAGCTTCATCCAATCAAATTTCGCATCTTCTCCCTCCAAACCTTACTACTTTTGGTGTGGGAAATGGCTAAAAATACAAGTTGAATATTTCCAAATGCTGGATGAAAGTTTCAACTCTGTCATAAAAGAACAAACAATCACCTCAGCAGGTTTGATGCCATTGCCTTGGGTTCATTCACAAGCAGGGAAAGCGTCTGTCAAACTGACAACAAAGAGATTTTCACTGGATTCTCTTCATGAGTTTCTGACTGATTTCCTCCCTAGCAAGGAAGTGGTCTTGGACCTACAGGAAACCAAGAAGCTATTGAGGTCTGAAGGTGAAGTTAAAGAGGTTAAAGGTGGCATAGTGTGCTCTTATCAACCAAGAGATAATGAACATGATGAAGACCCATTGAAATCATGTGTACAATTATTTCTCAGAATGAACACACCTCTTACGGAAGGTATGTACAATGACACTTACATCCTTTTGGACAAAATCATCAGAATGACAGTAAAGCCATTACAGACTGGCTTCCTAGTTGGAGACCGAATGCTCATGAAAAACATAGAAATGTTTGATACAATCATGTACAATCAGACACACACGTACATCATCCATGTCAAGGAAGGTTTTGACAACAACACAAGAGTCGTCGCATCTCAGATTCGAAACTCTGCAGATATCCTCTTCAGGGCACTGACTAGTCACATGACCAAAACTGTTCTTGATGAAATGTGGGACCGCTTCACAAGAGAGAAAACAAAGGAATCAGGTATAAAATCTCAATACACCCTTGGAGAACTAGCAAAGAATCAGCGTGCAATGAAATCAAAGCTAGAAGAGATGAAAAAAGAGGGGTTCATGAGGCTCTTTAAAGAAAGAGAGATTGTTTATGTTTTGGCGGCAAGGGACAAGTCAGAAGATAGGACAATGGAAACTGCTGATGCATTGATGACACAGGTTCGGAGTGAATTTCCTATGACATGTGAGAAGATCTTGCAAAGTCTTGAGGCAAAAATGTACGTGCAGAAGAAACAAACTCATCATGTGGTCACAGATAGGTTTAGATATGTGAATCAAAAAAACTTTCTCAAAGATATGACGGGCGATACCCTGGCAGAACCAACCAGTCAGGACAAAGAAGGGAGAAAATTCATGGCAGCAGCAGAATTGATTCCGGCTGCTTCAAGCACAGAACTGCAAAGTCTTCAACAGATGAATTGACCAGAGGTTTTGATGAAACAGAATCCTTCATGCTTCATCATCCGCTGGGAGTCCACAAAAGAGTCTTACAGTGACAGAGAGGATGCTAGTCCGAGACACCCAGCAGTAATTCAACACTCCAAGGTCTTGGTCGCTGGTCTCAAGAAGAGGATTATTATTCACCCCTAACTGATCAGCCCCAGATACCAGATCATCCATCGTCGTGGCCGGATCTTTTAAGTCTCTTTTAGTCATTTCCGTGAAAATACCGATTACAAGGGGAAAAGTTCCAGCTAAAGGTTTGCTTTATTCCAAAGTCCAACGATGAGCTTTAGAGAAGACCTGGGATCATTTCTCAAAAGGGTTTGAAATGTTGACAAACCTTCTGGCCGAGGACAAATTGCATGAAATATGGAAGCAGATGTGATTATTCGTCGTGATAGAGACTTCAGATCACAGCATTGCAGTTGTGACCGTTTTTCCTGGGCAAGATAATTAGGCTAACTGTGACAGAATCTTCACTTTGCCATAGACTTGTCACATCAAGTTGAATAGGTTTATTGTGACAGTATCTTCGCTATGCCACAGACTTGTTCACGTACACCTGGTATCATCACTATTTGATAATGATTCACAAACACACGCAATGGACTCTGCTTTTGGTAGAGATGAATGACCTGTTGCCTTTAATAGTACTACTTAGCTGCATGATCTACTTATTATTGTACAATGGACACTTCTTGTGTTTATATGAATGACCATGGAAATATTTTCTGTTGCCTGTAATATACTAGTAAGTATTTAGCAGCATGATCTACTTGCTATTGTACAATGGACACTTCTTTTGGTAGAGATGAATGACCATGGAAATATTTTCTGTTGCCTGTAATATACTAGTTACCATTTAGCAGCATGATCTACTTGCTTTTGTACAATGGACACTTCTTTTGGTAGAGATGAATGACCTTGGAAATGTTTTCTGTTGCCCTTAAGATACTATTTAGTGCCACTTTTCAACAGATTTTACCGATGTGGCAATAAAAATGCAGTGAAGTATTATTTATTTCTGAAATGACAACTAATCTTTTCTCATGTTTAATCACCTGGGACATGACCAAATTGTCACATGGGCTAAGATATTTGTAAGCCTGTGTCAAGTTATGAATGCCCTGTGTATATGGCCCCTGAATTACTAAGTAAATTGTAGCCGTGCAACATGCAAAACATCAGGATTATTTCAGCCATATGTTCAAAGCTCACTTGTCATTAAGGTTATACTTTGCACTGCAATCATTGGATTGTTTGGTCCAGAATATTTAGTGAATCTTTAACTGATATTTATGTAAGAGAGTATCTCCCTCATTTTTTGGTAGATGCAAACTCCTCTTCTAATGACAAATATGGACCAATTTCCTGAAACACTGACACTGAAGTATTCAATTCAAAGTTATATTTGAACAAAAGGATGGCAACATAGATGTCCCAGTTCTACTCTTTTGGTTTGGTTCCGACTAGTGGAATTAAATGTGTCTGAATCAACAGTCTTCCATAAACTGTGAAGTAAGAAATGGCGTATAACAACTGCTTTTGGCTTCCAAAAAGAAACACATAAGTATGGAATAATTGTATATACACTCAAGAATTCTTTTAGAATGTTCAACTTTCAGACAAATACTTACAGCAAAATGTTAACGAGATAATCAGCAACACCTGTAACCAGTGTCTAACTGCAAAACTGTGAAGGTATCAGCATAAAAGCAGGAAAGTATCTCTCATAGAACACAATGTGGTAAGTAAATGGTCCTTCTTTTCAGACATTCATTTTCCAACATAATTTATGCCATATGAGGCTCATGTGTAATCGTTTTTATACTCTTTGTCTGCCTTTAGTTATGATATTTGATATTTGTATAGCACCAATATCCAGCTCAGCTCAGCTCACCAGCCGCTTTGTTAGTTAACTCCATTTTTAACTCTGTGCCATAGGAGCCCACATGCTAACTCTTTGATAATATTCCTTTTATTGGAGCTATGAAATCAATTCTATAAGATTCTCTATAAATGTGCATTTGCCGGCATGCAGATTTGCTACCGAATGTGTTCATTATGTTGGTGATACAAACCATCAGAGAATGGTCACCAGTATCTGTAATGGTTGCTCTTAAGTTTCAACGCCGCCCAGTCCTGCAAATATATCTTCCTGTTGGAAACAAAAAGCTCCATCCAAAATGAAAAGGATCCTAAGATGGTGATTCCTTGCAGCCGAGGAGACAAACCTAGACCCGGCTCATCAAGGCATCTGCAATTACAGATGGATGGGTGGAAGGGAAAATACTGTGATTCAGTGAAGGTGAGTAAGTGAGCATCCCTAACTCATTTACAATTCACCAGCAAACGGCCCAATAAGGCATCACATCAATGCCAGAACAAAGCAGTTTTTGGTCAGTGACCAAAAACACTTTTGGCTAAATGGAACATTTCTATTGATGAACTATGCATCATTAGATATAATAATTAGTGTCCTGAATCAGGTCTATATCTAATAATGGGTCTTAAATTCAATTTTATAATACATAAGCCAAAACCATGGTTATGTGTGTGAAGAATATCATATAGAGCAGCCCTTGGTATGCTAGGGTATCACTGATGTGTTCCAATATATATTTGTTTACAGGGCAGTGCGTCCTCAATATGTATGCAGATTTTTGAAAACCTGTAAGTTTACATATAGTGACAATGCTATTTTATTATGATATTCATCTGTCCTCCATAATAACATATGCTTCAGATACATGCTTCAAATAGATTCTGTAACTCTGCTTCTTGCAATAAACTCTAGTGCCATTACTTTTTTCTGTCTTGATATAAGTGGCATTGAGTGCAGGTCCACAAGGAGTGAGTATGGCTTAACGCTGCTTTTAGCAAATCACGGTGGGGACACCAGAAATGGGCTTCACACATTGTAAAACCCATGTGGGGAATCGAACTTCAGGTCCTTTCGGCGTGACGAGCCAACGCTTTAACCACTAGGCTACCCCACCGCCCCAGGTCCACGATGAAGAATTTCTATAATATGCATGCTGAACCTCAAACAGATCTCATGTTATAAGGGAAGTACATACGAAAAATTCACATTTTTTCCCTTATGTGAAACAAAATGGACTTTTGAATTAGTTAATATCAAAACTTGAAAATATACACTCATTTTTCTTACAATGAAGGTATAACCCTCAATATAAGTGCTTAAATGTTATGCGGCCTTTATTTGTTGAGCTAAACAGGCCAGAGTTACCCCCTTTGATTTTGACGTAATTGGTGACAATTGATTTAGACTGGTTTCCTGTCTAGTCCCAAAGCGAAAGATATTAATACTGAAAGTAATCACGTGAAAAAAAGTGTGTAAAATACGAAAAGATGCATTAATTATAACTGAAAATGTAAGCAGCAGGATAGATAATGATCATGTATATTTTCATTCATAACCTCATCTCAATGAAAATAACAATATGTATAACAATGTTGATGTACATATGACATCACTATCGGGAAGCGACTTTTCACCGACACAATTACACTGGATATTTGGAAGAAATCTTACTTTGTTTCAAGCAACGTATATGCATAAATGTGATATGTAAAGTATAGAAACATTCTGACAATCTACTGGTTGTTATGTTCTTTTTCGTTTCATTGTGACTAATGGAAATAGTCAGAAATGAGAGAGAATACTGCCACCGCTGTGCGTGAGTTTGCGTAGCGTATGCGACTTGTAATCCCTATAGATATAGTATTGGAATATTGCTCTTTACTTTGATTGCCTGTATCCATGTAATGTAAACGTCCCAGTTATATCTGCTCTCGTATTTATTTCGTCCCGTCATGTTTCTGATATGCTGCGCAACAGCTGTGTTTTAAAACTTTTGTCTTTTTCTTGTCCTGTTGTTTGTCGCGTATGGTACCGTTGTTTTAAACAAATCCCCATCTATTCGCCAATCTCAGTTACAAACTTGCGCTCGCAAACTCCATAGATTGATATCAATTTCTCGATACTAATCTACAAACATATACCCACATCTCCCACACACTCTGTCCATGCCCCTGGCTAATGCTATATATTCAGTATCTGATACCTACTGTGTGTTGATATTTGTCAGTACCGGAGGGCAATTGGGCGAGAAGCCGGTATCAACCCTATACAGCATTACTAGGAAAGACACGATAAACCTCACTTGCTTGCAGTATCGTTCTGTTCGGACTTTCCAGAGTCGTGCCTTCTTAACAATCGCGATTTCACTATTATGCTGTGAGATATTCATCCAAATCCTGTGCCTGATACACATTTTAAAGTATTTCATTCACCCAAATATCCGTGATCTAAGGGAAAGATAGATCTGGTAACAACTGAATTTCACAATTTTGATATCATATGTATAATGAAACGTGGCTGAATGCATGAAGGGTACCAAACAAAGAGATATTAATTCAGGATATCACCACCTGTCAGAGGGATACACCCACAAGGGGAGGAGGTTCGCTATCTACGTTAGAAATAACAGCCGTATTTCAAACATGTTAATGTTTTTTAGACATCACTGACTTAGAAGCAATATGGTTACAGATTTTAATTAGGAACATAACGATTCTTGTCGGCGCATTTTATTGGGCCGACATAAGTGCTCACCTATTGGGGTTTAATCGAGAATCGTTGACCTTAACAGCAAAACAATTATAGTCGGTGATTTTTAACTCAATATGTACAATATAAGGAATGACAAAATTGATAACTTGGAAACTATTGTACAATTTGAAACAGGTTATAACTGAACCTACAAAGATTACTGATACAAGTTGTTCACTTGATTGATCTTATATTTACAAATTGTCATTGTCTGACTAGTTCCTCTGGAGTCTTAGCACCAGTTTGCAGTGACCCATTGTCCTTTGTTTATTAAGCTTAAACATGAAAAACACGTAAAGCGACATATAAACCGGACTATTTACGACTATAACAGTAGTGCATA